GGGCGCGTGCGAGGGCGGGTGAGGTGCAGCAGCAGCAGCAGTAGCAGGAGTCGCGGCGTGCTGGTCTCGCTTCTTTGGCGCGGACGCGGATTGACGCTGTCGTGTAGGAGGGGCTTTCTTGAGCCGTCTCGTCATATCTCCACGAAGAACAATGCAATGCAGCGACAGGTAATATAAGAATGGGCGGCGGAGCAATCCTGGGAATCCGACGGGACAAACGACTGCTCTCACGCACGCACGCACACCCTCCTGCTCCCGCTCTACGGAAACGGTTTGAAGGACAGCAGCAGGGTGACACAGACTGCGGTGGGGCGAAGCGCCGTCGTCAACACTCGAGCTCCGCGGATGCCACAGTGCAGAACAGCACAGCACCGCGCCCACGCCCACCACGCCGCGTCCGCCAGCATCATCAACACCGCCGCCACGCGACTCCGCTACTTCTCTGCCAGGCCGCCGTGTTGGCTACGTGCCGGGCGGAGGTGCTGCTCGTGTCAGAGCGTCAGCTGAGACGACCGTTTGCTCTGCTCCCCCATCGACAAGCGCCGACCGTTGCTGTCGAGCAATGCAGCCCCCTGCTAGTTGTGCTCGCACATCCTGGAACACTGCCTTCTACTACGTGGCTCAAACACCGCCCGGGCCTCCATCTCGCGCGCCGACGCTGTGTTGCTCCTGCATCTGCTTGCGTTGTTTCCATCAACGCGTGGTGTCCAGAGGACCCTCGCTGGCCCTGGCTCTGCCTCTGGCACTTCCCTTCCCTTCACCTCCTCCCCTGCACGCACGGCGCTGCCTCAGGCCGTTGACGTCCGCTCACCTGTTTCCGTCGGTGTAACCCGCTTCGCAAGCGACGGAAGAAAACCCATCCCTTTCAACGCGTGCTTCTCATCGCAGGTCGTCGATCGTGCAATGATAATATTAAAACGCCACTAACTCTCATCATCTCAAGGCAATTAGCAGAAAGCAGTCTCTCCGAAGAGATGGAGATTTCGTAGTCCACGAGGTTGGCTACGGCGCGAACGACCGCTATGAGGCCTCTCATTGAATTCCCTGTGCTGAATTGCCCGGCCATCTCTTTCTCCGGCCAGGGCAGGAGCCCTCTGCTTTTCGACTTAGCGAAAAGCGTGATAGCTTCACGTCTCTTACAGCTCTCTACGGCACAAGCGAGGAAGCAGCGAAGCCTCTCCCTCTTCGGAGAAATTGTCCGTCCTGGCGATTGCTTTGGTCCCCCTTCACCTACTGACAGCATGACAAACACCCACTGCCGGCTTGGCCACCGGCTTCGTGCATAGCACCGATAGTACGCCTACCACGGGCCGATGGTTGCATTGGACTCGATTGTGCGAGTGTCGTGCGCTGGTCGCTGAAACCTCTGCAAATGACTCGCTTGCCTATCTTGGACGCGTGCAGTTGGTCGATAAGCTTACATCGTGGCGCTACAGTAGTACATACAGTTGCTGCTCCTCCATGTCTGTCGCTTCGCCTCCGGCCTTCCGCTACCTGTAGAAATCGCCCGGGTCTGCTTCTTTGCCGCCACCTCCTCCTGACGGTACACTGGGCTGCGGCTGATAGGCTTGATATTGAGCAACACCTGGGCTGCTGGGTCCGCCCGGTCCTGCTGGGTGCTGCTGCTGCTGCTGCTGTTGCTGCTGTGGCATTTGTCCGTCGGCGAATGCAGGTGGATTCTCGAAGCTGTGCGTTCGCTGCCTGCTGAGATCGTCTCTGCTCACGTTCGCTTGCGCTGGAGGTGCTTGGCCAGAGTGATATGGCTGCTGTGGCGTGGGGTAAGCATTGTAAGTCTGAGCGGGTGGCTGCACTGGCTGGCCCATCTGCGCAGAAGGATATGAATGTCGGTTGTCAATCGGCGACTCGTAACCTCCCGTGGCAAGTTCTTGTGGGTTGCCAGAGTTTAAGGTGTGTATCGAATTTGGTCGAATCTGGCCTTGAAAACCTTGTGGAGCATTGTATGCATCGTAGGGGCCGCCCGGTGCTGCATTTGGGCTTGGTTTCCGTCTCACTTCATTCGGAGGAGGTGATTGAACGCCTCCTGGTATGAAGTGGAACGGAGCTGGTACGCTCGCCGCCGCGTTTGGCGGAGGTGCATTCTGCGGAGGATACGGACTTGTAAAGCCAGGCTGTTGCGCGGTCGTTCGCTCTGCGGGCGCAGGCGAGTAATATCGCTGCGGATCCTGCTGAGGAGGTAGATGCTGCTGACTTGGCGAGAATGGCTGCGCGGGCTGTTGCGCATTTTGCGGGTGGCCTTGTGGATACCCCTGCGGTTGATGCTGAGGCGCCCCATAGGGCGGCTGTTGATGTTGGAATTGGGGCGGAGGCCGCGATCGGATGGGGTACTGCTGGTGCTGTGGCGGTTGAGACATAGACGATTCGAGCAATGCCTCGTAATCCCTCCTTGCCTTGATGAATTTCTCGTTGAGCTGTGTAAAGTCGTCTGCCACCCGTTAGTACACCCGGGGTCAAACTATACCCGCACAATACGCGAACGGTGTTCGACCAACCTTTTTTCTGCGAGTATCTCGCAATGAGTTCGATCAATTTTGGTCGAATGCTCAGTGTTCTCTGATACAGCTCGCTGATCTCTTCCTCCTCTCTTTCTCCCCGCCTGCCACCTCCTTCGGAGCCTACGCTGAGCAGGGCTAGCAACTTTTCTACGTTCTTGATCTCACCGAATACTTCAGCTTCCATCTGTGCATCCCTCTCTAGCTCCTCCTTCGTTGGGTCTTGCAATTTCTCCACGTAGTTCAGCGGGAAGATACCCGTCTGTCCACGCAGACTGCCTTTCCACCAATCTTTATATACAGACTCCAGGACCGCAATGATATCGTTCTTTCGGAAAGCAAGCTCGCCAGGCTCAGAAGGGGTGAAATCGTAAAGAGCCCTTACTCGGCTCACTGTCGCAGCCGTAGTACCTTGCTGTGTGGGCTGCTGCGACTGTGTGTTTTGCACTTGTTGCTCCTTGCTATCGTTGCTCTGCGTCGTGCCATTGACTGGTCCCTTGTCCTTAATACTTAGCGCTAGCGCCATCTGAAGCTCCTCATCCTCCTTGCGCCTATCGTCGCTACTGATCTCTTTCTTAGTGGGCTTGCTTGGAGGCATGAGACCAGGCTGCTGCGTCCGCAGCTTCTGATATGCCTGCTCCATGATGCCCAACTCTGGCGATGAGCGGAACTCATCTGACCAGCTGCCCATGCGCTCGAGTACTTTCTGTTTGACCTGAGCATGTGTGGTTCGGTCGGCCGCCAGTCGGAGCAGCGCATCGGTGAAGGCTTTGGAGGCGAGTTCGCGGTGGAGGGGAAGTCCGCAGTTCTGAGAGAGGGCGTTCGCGAGCTCCAAGGTATAAAGTTGAACATTTGCATTTCGGTGAGCAAGTCGCTTGATCAGGGCGGCGGTCGCTTGTGCGGCGCCAGATGGGTTGGCCGACACGCGATCGCAGACATCGAGAATGTATTCCCAATTCTCGCTCGTAAGATTTTCGTCCGTGGCCTTGACTATTGTACTCTGTTAGCCATCATGCCCCAGCCGGAAGTCGCAAGGCTGCAGGTGGCCTACCGATCGCATCATCCATGGGGGAGCTCTGCGCGCGAAACATGGTCGCAACAAGGTCAACAGCATGCACTGGTTGCTAGAGAGCTGTTCAGTCTTGCGGTTGTTAAAGGCGATGCGAGAATGCTGCCTGCCTGGACCGCGTGTTAGTTCGCCCGCAGGTGATGCGCTTGGGGGCCGCCAAACGCTAAGCCTTGCCCTATGACGTTGACGCGACCACGAGTGAAGGCACGAAAAGGGTGGACTGCGGTCACGTTCAGGTCATTACACATGCATATACTACTTTATTCCTACAGTGCTACTTCGCCGTATGCCACAAGTTGGGAAGTGCCGCGCTCTAGCGGCTGGCTCCCAAATTTCTCCCAACCAAGCCGTTCGTCGTTTGCCCGACCTTCAACTTCTTCCTGCAGTCGGGACAATACCACTTGGTACGACGCGGCGGAAGATCCTTGAGCTGCACACAATCAAGGTGGAACCACTCTTTTTCGCAGTCCGTCTCGTTGTCACACGCAATCATGGTGCCCCAGCTCACATCACCGCATATGCAATAGCGAGGCTCGTCTGGATCAATGTATTCTTCAGGAGCTTCCGTAGCGCTCAGGCCAAGTTGGTCTGCTGGCATCGAAGAATCCTTCTTTCCACCCTGTCCTCGCCTCCTATTCGGAGCTGCCTTCCGTTGAGAAATGGTGGCCTTCGCGCTGTCGTCGTCGTTACTAGTGATGACACCGGGCGGAGGTCTCTTGGATCGGCGTCCGCTCTTTGTAATGGCATCTTTGCTCGTGCCGGTACTTTTGGGCGAGGCAGGTGTGCTCGCGGACGGCCCACTGTTGCTGGGCAGGCTGGCGTTGCTTCCTCTGCGGAGGCTCTGGCGCCTGTTTGGGGGCTCCTCAGATACTGCTTTTCCAACCTTGATGGTGATGGTAGGACGCCGAGTGGCGGGCGGAGTGGCGGCTTTGCGCTGTCGACCCGCTGTTGCGGCTTGCGGCGAGGATGAAACCCCAGCCGGGGCCAAAGGGATCTTCGAAGTCGTGGGCGGATTGTTGGAGGGTCCGGTGAGCTTTAGTCGCTTCGGTGGATTGGCCTTGGCCTCTGGTGACTTCGGTCCAGCAGTCTTCGACGTTCCTGCAGCTGGTGTTGCCTCTCGCTTACGCTTCTTCTGTCCTTCAGGCGACGCTGTTTTGCCACTATCCAAAGGGGGCTCAACGCCTTGTTCACGCGCTAACTGTGCTTGCAGCGCCTGCTCCTCGAGCAGCCGCTGTCGCTTGAGCTTCTTCGCTTCATTGAGTCGCATTCCTCTGTTGATGAGCTCAGCGTCAGCGTCCTCATCGTCCACGTACACCTGAGGGCCGAGCATGGCATTGATCTGGTCGGTTTCCTCGCCACTAATGACGACCTTCGTGGGATCCACTTCGTTGTGTTCATCAACGAGTGTAGTGCCATTCGCTTCCGCCTCCAGCCTCGCGGCCTCTTTGCCAGCTATGCCACGGCCTAAGTTCTTGAGCTCACGGCGTACCATAGTCTGCGATGGAACCCATATTGCGTTCTTCTTCATGCGCTTCCTCAGCTTCGCCATTTCCCACTCCGTAAGTTTGACCCACGGCAGCCATTTACTACCTTTTGCCGCATCTGGAGGCGGTTCGGTGAGTGCCAGCAACGCATTAGAGGTGCTAATCCCGGCGACCGCAGAGTGGGCGTTGGTCCCTGGCTGTCCTGGCGCTCGTGGGCCACGCGATTTCATACTCTCGGCCTTTCGATCCCGCTCTGACCTCTGTCTGTTCTCCTTCTCAGCTCTTGGCGGCTTTGGTGTTCTTGAGCGAGGTCGAGGCGTGGTTTTCTTTTTGTCCTGCTCACCAGCATCGTCCATGACGGGAGGTGAAGGTCGGGGTGATGTCCAATCTGACATGTTATCAAATGGCGCATTAGGGTCGGGCGGAGGAAGCACCTCTCCGGGCACCATGACCTTCCTTCCTCGTAACTTGCTTGCGGCTTTGTCCTGCACGCGACGCGTATGCTTTTCAGCTTTCATGTCATCCGCCCTCGTGCTCATCCGGCGCTCGCGCTTGAGGTTGGGCGATGTGAGCGCTTGTTGCTCGGGTGTTGGATCTCGCGAAGGAGGTTTCGGTTGCGACTTGAGCTTGTCGGTCACTATCTCCAAACGCTTTGCTTCGCGTTGGCACTCATCGTCCAACCTGCCAGCCTCCTCGGCGGCCATGCGACATGCAGCCTCCGCATCGTCGAGAGCCCAACTGATTTCTCTTCGCAATTGCGCAGGGTCCGGCCTGGCGCGCTTGATGCTGGGCAAAGTGCTATATGCAGTCGTGTTATTATGGACGGATTTGATGTTGGTCTCAGCCTTGACTCGTTGTTCGTGGATCAGCGTCAAGGCGCGCACGAGATGGGACGGAAAATGCTCGGTGTAGGTGAGGAAGTCGGAGAGAGTCGCTTGTATGTCTGGATCCGAAGGCGGCTGGCGACTGAGCGACCTCAGATCGTCCACGGAGGTGTGAGAGAGGGCAGCGGCCATGGCTCTGAACAATAGAGGGAGTCTGTGTCGCCCAGTGTCGTGCGGCGCGCGTTCAAGGCGGTACTGGTGGGCAGAGCTGAGGGGCGCGTGCCGTAAGCCACAGCATTCCAGGCATGCGTCGAGCGGAGAGGTGTCGAAGCCGTGTGATGCAGAGGGGAGTGAGAGTGGAGGGCAGTCGCGAGGAGCTCGATTGGGCAGACGCGACAGACTGTGCTTGGCAACGGCCGGCTTCGGTCGAGCCCAGCGTGCACTTGAGCTACACTTCACGAGCCCGCAGCATGGAAGCGTACACGGTGTTACTATTCGCCTTCATCTTCTCCTTACTGCTGGCCATCAGCTGGAGCGCGAGCCTCATTGCCCGCATCACTGACCCTCCGCCCGGCAAAGTCCCACCCCGTCCGCCGTTCAAAGATGCGCCAACCACTCGGAACACTGCGTGATCATCTATAGCTTTCTACGCTACACCACCTGCGATGGCCACCATGAATGGAGACTCAGAACAGCGACCGGGTGGCAAGTACGCTTCGTACGTACCACACGACCTCAAATACAGCGCCGAATTCGAGGACGCCTTGATGAGCGTTGTGCTCAACCCTCCAGCGTCACCAGACGGAATTCGCGTGATCTCGGAGGACAGCTCTGAGCAGTCAACGGAAGGCGTATCAATACGCATGAAAGACATCCCGCCCGAGAGCCTGCCAGTCATTGCCGAGACTGATCTCCCACTGCCTTTGGACGACCCGCGACGCATCTTTGCCAGCCCTGTGCCTGGCATTAAGCTCACCCACCCGGGCGGCTACCTCGAAGGTGGTCCTGGTCTTGATCCTGACATGGATACGTTTCCCGAGGACTTTTTCAACAACCACCCGCACGCACGTACGACCGACCGCTTGGCTGCCACGGTAGACAAGAAGATTGAGGAGCTCATGGGGGAATTGCAGGACAGGATGCGCAAACGCGAGGATGCGATCAAGGAGAATGGTGAAGTGGAGAAGAAGCTGGAAGAGTTAATGTTGCAGCACGCCATGGAGCTCAAGGTGCACAAGAAGCTCGCCGATGATAGACGAGCGAAGCGGGAGGCCAAAGAGAAGCGGCGTGCCGAGCGTGAAGGTGGCCCGTCCTAGCCTCACGCTGAAGCGAGGCTGTATGATACAAGATATATGGACAAGTCTGCAGTGACGACAGGTCATTAGAGAAGAAGCTCTATATGTGCCAGGGGAGAACACGTTCGACCACGAAGTCCGCCATCTTCCTAGTAGACAACAAGGTTGGCTTGACTGCATCGCAAGGACAGGCAGTATTGGTACGGCTCAGGACCACCGTGAAGCATGCTGTGCACCTCTTCTGGCCTCTCTTAGCTGCCAAATTGGGCCCTCGGAACACAGCGCCTGAGATCTTACGCTGCTCTGAACAGCACTCCGAACGAAACTGGCAGATCCGAGGACTGGTGCTCGTTGCTGTGGACAGTCACTCACGAGCGGCAGACTTGTCGTTCACCGAAGATGACGGGAAAGGATGATGGTACAATGAACAGAGTCTAATGCGACTCAACGTAGAGCACGTCTCGCGCACGCCGCACATTAGATCGGATATGGCTTATTCATAATTTGCTCCAGAAGAGGCCATAGGCGGATCCCAAATTAGGTGGCGGAAGGTACGATCTAAAACAACTTACCACAGTACAGTGGTGTTTAGGGTCAAGCTGTCGGCAATGAAACGTCATTCTGTTCGCAGAGAGGTATGCCATATTAGCAAACTAGTGGTAATGAGAGCCCATTTGACAATACAATGTTGGATCACATTGTCGAGTCTGTCACATGTAGTTTGTGGAAGCGATCGTCGCTGCTTTGCATCTGCACACAATTCAGCGTTTCAGGCGAAAGCGACCAACGGCGCGCTCTCTCCTCTTGCTGATCCGCCCTTGAATCGTGCACATGCTGAGCTGCATTGGAATGTGAATGAAGAATAGGCTGTTCGATACGTCACAAGGCTCAATGCACCATAAGAGGCAACTCTCACTTGTTCTCACATGAATTTTCTCAGTTGCCGCCACCTTGCCTTGCTGCCTGACACACGTGCCCCGCGCTTGTCGGCTTGCCAAGCTGGATCCACCCTCCACTACTTAATCATTTTCTCCCTCTCTCACTCTCTTCTTTCGAATCTTGTCTACATACCTCAGAGCTAGCCTTTGAATCTGTGTAAGCGCCACACAACTCGTTGCAGCATCGCTCCAGGCACTAACACACCTGCGCAGAACTTTCAAACTCTTGCAGACTTGCACCCTTCAACAACTTCCATCCACAAACAACCGCCAACATGGGGTACGTGGCGACGCCGTGGAGCGACGGCTCCATCGCCAGGACGCAAGAGCAGTGACTGATTATGGATGCAGTAAGGAGAAGACTCACATCAACGTCGTCGTTATCGGCCACGTCGACTCCGGCAAGTCGACAACCACCGGTCGTAAGTGCTGCAAAACATGCGCCCGAAGCATTGGCAGAGCGCTCACACTATCACAGACTTGATCTACAAGTGCGGTGGTATCGACAAGCGTACCATTGAGAAGTTCGAGAAGGTGAGCAACTGCCAGCACACAAATGCATTTTGTCGCACAAATTTTCGCCGCTTGTCGCCTCTGCGCTGGTGCCCCTCCAAAACTGGTGGGGTGCGAGAATTTCGGCGCTTTGGGCTCTGCCGCTTGCGATGACTTCATCCGCTATGACTCCTCGCCCACCGCTCAACGCATTGGGCATACCGCCAGCACACCACACATCTGCACGACCACACTTCGCATCAAGAATAGACTGCTGACAATGGCTCCTCACAGGAAGCAGCTGAACTCGGCAAGGGTTCCTTCAAGTATGCCTGGGTGCTCGACAAGCTGAAGGCCGAGCGTGAGCGTGGTATCACCATTGATATCGCCCTCTGGAAGTTCGAGACTCCAAAGTACGTTGCGATATCTCGATAACAACAAGGTCCATCCAGCTAATGTCTCGACCAGGTACTACGTCACTGTCATCGATGCCCCAGGTCACCGTGATTTCATCAAGAACATGATCACTGGTACCTCCCAGGCTGACTGCGCCATTCTCATCATTGCTGCCGGTACTGGTGAGTTCGAGGCTGGTATCTCCAAGGATGGCCAGACTCGTGAGCACGCTCTTCTCGCCTACACCCTTGGTGTCAAGCAGCTCATCGTCGCCATCAACAAGATGGACACCACCAAGTGGTCCGAGGACCGTTACAACGAGATCATCAAGGAGACCTCCTCCTTCATCAAGAAGGTCGGCTACAACCCAAAGACCGTCCCATTCGTCCCGATCTCTGGTTTCAACGGCGACAACATGATCGACAACTCCACCAACTGCCCATGGTACAAGGGCTGGGAGAAGGAGACCAAGACCAAGTCCACTGGCAAGACCCTCCTGGAGGCCATCGATGCCATCGACCCACCTCAGCGACCAACTGAGAAGCCTCTCCGTCTCCCACTCCAGGATGTGTACAAGATTGGTGGTATTGGCACGGTCCCAGTCGGTCGTGTCGAGACCGGTATCATCAAGGCCGGTATGGTCGTCACCTTCGCCCCAGCTGGTGTCACCACCGAAGTCAAGTCCGTCGAGATGCACCACGAGCAGCTCACTGAGGGTCTTCCTGGTGACAACGTCGGCTTCAACGTCAAGAACGTCTCCGTCAAGGAGATCCGTCGTGGCAACGTTGCCGGTGACTCCAAGAACGACCCACCAAAGGGCTGCGACTCCTTCAACGCCCAGGTCATCGTCCTCAACCACCCAGGTCAGGTCGGTGCCGGTTACGCTCCAGTCCTCGACTGCCACACTGCCCACATTGCCTGCAAGTTCTCTGAGCTCCTCGAGAAGATCGATCGTCGTTCCGGCAAGTCCATTGAGAACAGCCCCAAGTTCATCAAGTCTGGTGACGCTGCCATCGTCAAGATGGTGCCATCCAAGCCAATGTGCGTTGAGGCTTTCACCGACTACCCACCACTCGGTCGTTTCGCCGTCCGTGACATGAGACAGACCGTCGCCGTCGGTGTCATCAAGTCGTAAGTTACTCGCGTTCCAACGTTTCTTGTTCATTGCTAACAAATCCCACAGTGTTGCCAAGTCCGACAAGGGTGGTGCAGGCAAGGTCACCAAGGCCGCCCAGAAGGCTTCCAAGAAGTAAACGGTCTCTTGACTGGAACTTCTGTTCTCAAATTCACAAGCGGGTGTTGATTTGGATTGTGTTGTTTGAGTCCTTCTTTCTCTCGATGCAGAGATGGAGCGGGCTTTTCTTCCCTTCTCGATCCCAGATACCCGGTCTGAGTACCACTACTTCGGCATCAGCAGCATTGTCCTTGGTCGTTGAGGTGATGCGCTGCAACAACAAGAGCGAACGACCACCTTTTCCTTTGTTATGAAATCATGAGCGATGATGATGGCTACGGTTCTGCGGCGGATAACCAGTCTTATGCAACTGGGCTTGCCTGTAGCTTTAGATTTTCACGGCTTCAAACAGGCCCATGAACAAAAGCAGTTTGGAGAGTACCTTCAGTGCCACCCGTCTCATTGTATACTGCTGTGTTCCATGCTACATGTATACGCTAAAATGTTGTCCCATGCGCCCAGTGCTGTGACGTGGAGCAAAGTTCGTGCCGAAATCTGCGAACACGCCAGACGCCACGATTCTGTCGAAGCGGCGCTCTCGAGTACGCCACATCAGCGCTGGGCCTTTGCGAGGCTGTCGCTATCTGCCATTCAAGTCTGAGCCTTTTTCCAGATGACTTGCGAAGATAATGACCAAGGCCGACCTTATTGCGGATTGCGTCCTCCGAACATTTGAAGCACTGCCCGCCAAATGCAAACCTCGCACCCTTCCCAATGGCCGTAGGGAATGGGTACCTCTGGCCGGCATTGTGCTCAGCAAAGGGCCAGCCACGTCCGCGACAGTGGAATGTGCTGCGTTGGCGACCGGAATGAAGTGCCTTCCTCAGTCGAAACTTGGCATAGCCAACGGCAACATCTTACATGACTGGCATGCCGAGATACTGGCCTTGCGATCTTTCAATCGATTTCTGATAGATGACTGTGCTCATCTGGTAAGTAAAGGGCGTGATGAGGATGGGAGATGGGTCAGCTGGAGGCCGGAAGGCTCGTCCGATGAACAAGGCCAACTTTTTCAGCTCCAGGATGGCGTTGAGATACATATGTAGGTTTTCTGGACGAGAGCTACGAGTCTGTGTCACGCTGACTTCTCTCGATTTTATAGGTATTGCTCAGAGGCGCCTTGTGGTGACGCGTCGATGGAGCTCACAATGGCAGAACAGACTGACGCAACACCTTGGGAAAGACAGCAGTACGTTGGAGAAGACGGACTGCTTGGTCGCGGCAATTTTGACCAGCTTGGTATCGTCCGAAGAAAGCCATCAAGGCCAGATGCTCCGCAGTCTCTGAGCAAAAGTTGCTCAGACAAGCTGGCACTGAAGCAATGCACGGGAGTACTATCGGGGTTAGCGACAATACTTCTACATCCTGGAAACACCTTTATCGCAAGTCTTATCCTGCCTGAGGACCAAGTCGTCAGCAGTGCGGTCCAAAGATCTTTCAGTGCGAGTGGAAGAATGGCACCACTAGAAGAAGAGCGCTACAAGAAGGCCTGTAATCAGTATGGCTATCGATTCCAGCCGTTTGAGATACAAACGACCACAAAGACTTTCGACTTCTGTAAGCCTGCTAAGGACTGTCAATCAGTTCCTAGCAATCTGTCAGTAATGTACACGCCGCAATGTCAGGAAATCTTGATCAACGGCGTGCTGCAGGGACGAAAGCAAACAGATCCTAGAGGAGCCAGTTGCGTGAGTCGAAGACGAATGTGGGAAAGTGTGAATGACATTATCAGGTCTACGGGAACATCGGCAGCAGCTGAGGTATTGAGCGTACAGAACTACACCGAGCTGAAGCAGCATCCACTTCTGGAAGGCAGAGAGCTGGTCAAACGAGATGTGCGGAGTACAGGGTTGCAAGGTTGGAAGCAGAATTTCGGTGATGATTTCACCATCCAGGACTTAGGATGAGGTCGATTGTTCTCCCATGCAACAAGCTGGCAGGCCTTCGAGTTCCACAGAGCTGGAAGTGGGAAGTCAAGGAAAGAAGCGGGAAAAGCGACTCAGAACGAAGATGTGAAGTTCGAAAATGCCATTAAATGCTACAATGCATACTCTATCTATCGCTGAGGGTATCTCTGGGTATCGCGCTCATAATAAGAGGGTCCGACCAACGCCATGCCATCCCACCGATCTCTATTGGAACTCAATGTACGCCAAGGGCGTGATGTATGGCCCACTATTGTAAGGCTGGGTCCAAGTCAGATAGATGGCGTTCTCGGAAGCATCCGAAGAAGGGAGCAATGCTGGGTTTGCCTGCAAAGTGTAAGCTCCGACAAATCCAGTACCATCTTGACCCTTCCACAGAATGTATGGCTCAACCCAAGGACCTTCAGGTGCTGGAGCGGTCGAGATGTAGAACCAGGCCACAGGCTGTCCGTATTTCTGGCCGATCCAGATGAAGGACTTGTAGAACGCAGAGTAGTAATAAGTTCCTTGCCAGCCAGCTCCGCAGTTTGGGATGATGATGCCGCTATCCGTGATCTTCGGCATCGTCTTCACCCATTTGCCCGACACGTAGTATTCGTAGGCGCTCTTGTTCTCCATGTAGCCAAGCTTGACTCGTGCGAGAGCTGGTGGATCAGGATCGTTGACCTTGCCGTACAAGTACGCGTAGCCATTGCGGATAACATTGCCGTAGTCGCCATATCCGATTTCGCCAGCCTTCCAAAACGCTTGCGCCACGACTGTTGCCGCGGGCACTTTGTTCTTATCCGATGTGCCAGTGTAGACTTGCTTCCAAAGCATGTATGCTGGCGGGCCGCCGACAGGCATGAAACCCTTGATCTTCGACTTCGCAATGAACTGGTAGGCAGTGAACCGTGTCGAGCTCACTTGCGTGACGATCGGCTGGCTGTTTGGCCAGTAGACCCAACGTCCGGAGTCGTCGGAGCATTGTCCATGACCCACAGGGCAGTTATCGGCTTGGGCTGGGAAGTACTCGATGTGCTCGCCGTACATTTGCAGAATAGCATTCTTTCCTGTCGATCCAGCTCCAACAGGACCACTGCTTACCACGCCTGCACCCAAAGGGGACCAAGCTGCGGTATTCATGTAGATGGGAAATTTTGATTCGCCATTGATCTGCAATTGATTGTCAGAAAAGGAGCGTCTGCATTGCTTTGATGATCCGTACAAATGCCATAGTGTCTCTGCATGTCCAGAAGGCTCGGCTGCCGATGCGTGTGGAGCCGCAAGAGTCTCTGTCCAGACTAGGATCGGTGACGTTGCCGACATATTTTGCAGATTTGAATTGGGGTCGCACTCCTGTTGGCGTTGTCTGCTGTGGAGCTGCTAGCGCGGAAGCCGCCAGCAGAGGGAGAAGGAGCATGTCGAGCATGCCGAAGTGAGATCACGGTATTGCAGTCGATGTAGCCAAGTGCCGTGATAGCAGGTATGCCAGTGGTCAGACGCAAACGAGAGACTTCAAGTAGGCTGGGGCACAGTGGTGTTGACAATCGCAAGCATCGACATGGCGGCGGGCTGAGCAGTGATATACACCAGCAGAAGACGGCATGCCTCTGGTCCTGCTAAGACAGGCTCAGATCTTGGGGCTCAACGGCGACCAATGATCAAGCACTGCTGCCGATATGAGACCCATAAGGCTGGCTGTGAAAGGTAAATGTGCAGTGGAGGCTGAGCCAGAACCCGCCGGAGGGTGCATGCGTGAGTTACAGATGGGCACTCCGCAAGCCATGCCACGAGGCAGCTTGCGTGCCATGTGCGGTTCTCGACTAGAAAAGGGTTTCGTGGCTGACATGGCGCACGAAAGGGGACATTGTACGGCGTGGTAGTCGACTCGGCATGCAAGCCTTCCGCTTGGCTGCAAGAAATATCGTCCTCGCCGGCGCGTCTAGTCTGCGAAATCTTCAGCTCCCGTCTGGTGGTTCGCGGCTGGGCAGGAAATTCTCCGTCGAGACCTGAGTGGCGAGTGAACATTCCACCAGTGTGCCCTTTGGCACAGCACGAGTGCGGAAACACAGCATGTCTCGCCTGTGAAGAGCTTACTCGCGGACATCGAGCCCAATTTTCGCCCAGCGCAAGCAGCAGCTTGCAGGTCCAGAGATGCGCGTCTCGCTCCCGAACTTTCTCTGCATGTTCTCCCGTGTGTTGTCCTTTGCCCTTTTCCAGACTAGCGGCATGGCGCTGGGTGGACTACGAGAGGTCGGGCTGCTCCAGCCAGCAAAGCATAATGGTCGAGAGGCGGTGTTGAGGATGCGCTTGCGAAAGTTTATTCAAGTCTAGATGCTAGTGCACCGACCACACGTGGTCGACCGCATTTTCGGTTCCAGGCAGTTGACGAGTGATGTGATGCATCGAACGTGGCAAGAGCGTTCTCGGCCACGAATACATGCGAGCTGTGCGATCAATTGATGGCCTGATGTGCCAACAAGTCATGCGGCACCCGTGCTGCTCACATTCGCTGCCTCCGCCACATATCTGCCAATTTCCGCCACAAAACGCCCCATACGGCGAGTCCGACTACAAGACATCGTACTTGCAGCAGACTTGCCTTGTCGGGCTATGTAATACCACGGATGTTCCGCGTCCGTAGCAGCACCTATTCGTCTCGGCCGTTTTTGACCAACGAGGAGCGCACACCGTCTGGCAGGCACTTGCAAATGCTTTGGTCGGAATCGTCTTCGAGAGTGGTACGAAGCGTGGAGGCGAGGACGCGACGATGTTGACTGCGAGAGGCACTTGCCCTCCGTGACAAGCTCCACTCCTCAGCCGTGAAAGGCGGCGAGTCATCTGCTCCCACGCAGAATTTGAGGATGAATGTTGATCGTCCAGCCCTCTACATACAGTATCGCGGATCATCTTCCCTGGACAAACGCTAAATCGATTCACCCCTGCCTAACAAGTCGTCGCTAGGTGCTCAGGAAGTCTGCGACCCTGACATCCCGCTCGACCACTACCGCTGCTGAAGGATCGAGACGACGGTAATAGCCAGGCTCGCGACGCGTCTCTCGAAATTCGCGTTTGCGGTACCACGCCAGGCCATCGGCGTTGGCTTCCCACACGTGTGCGCCGACACGTGTAACGCCGTAGTCTTCTGCTGCCTTCTGCACGACTGTGCGAAGCAAGTGAGTAGCAATTCCGTGATGTCGATAGGGCGACAAAAGCACTAGAGTGCTCAGGTACAATACAGGCGCCGTGGCTTCGCGGGATGGAAATTCCGTACTCGCGGTGGATGGTTCCAGTAACCTACAGCGAATGGCACCGATCAGACGTCCCTTTCCCTTCGACTGAGATGTCGAATCATCGTGCCAAACTGCAAGCAGAGTGATGCTGTTTGTGACTGGGTCATTCACAATGTCCTTGTAGAACTTGTCCGGGTACGGGATGGGGAGTAAAAGACTCGTTAGTCGCTTGAGGTGTGGGATATCGGCTTGAGTGCATGACCTCAGCTCGACATTTTGGGGCAATGGGCGTCTTTCCGAAAGGTGTGCTGTCAGCTCGTTGGTCGGGCTGTGGTCGGATTGAGGTTGGGATGCTTCTACGTCCGCTGCTGGTGTTGTGATCTGCACTGGTAGCTTGCCAGTGTCGGGTGTCTGTGATTGCTCAAGCGACGGTGCGCTCCGGACAATGGCTGGCTTGTTCAGCCAGGCGAGCAGTGACGACTGCGACATGGGACATGCTCGCTGCGGCGAATGTACATGTCGTGAGGAAAGTCGGACATGTCGGAGTAGCAGAGTGGGAATTGGCTGGCGCGGAATTGGTGGAATTTGACGGACCCCGGTCAAATCGCAATCAAAGTCTGGCTTGAGGCGCAAAAGCCTACAGCGGCCGCAGACAGACGTGATACTCGCTGTCGCAGCAACACGATGGGAAACGCTGGCTCATCTTCCGCGCCCACGTTCAATGCGTATGTGTCATTCCTGGAATCTGCGAGCATGCAGACGCTAATTGGCCTGCAGCGACGCGCCCGTGAGGCTCAGCCAGTCCGTGATTAACGCTCTGCAGGACAGCCCGGAGGTATGCCGTGAACCTATACCATTGCTACCATTCTTCTAACCATCTCTGTCAACCCAGTCCGACTCAACCCGTGCGCAGCAGCGTGAACTGGTCGCTCAGTCGCGCGTCAACGCAGATCTCCAGAAAATCCGCGATTCGCAGGCTCAGAAACTCGACGAGCTCGCAACTTCAATCACCACCGAACAGCCCGCACAAGACTCTACCGAAGACTCGTCCAGCAAACCAAGCGGCCTATTCGCACACCTCAGCTCCCCGTTCTACCACGACTGGACGCCCAAAGACGCTCAGCCCGCCTCGGAGCCCTCGAACCGCTCGCACGACAGTGTCAGCAAGGAAATCATGGATCTGCGCCAGAAACTCGAGCAGCGCAAGAAGGTGGAGAAGGTGCCGGCAGAGGTAGAGAAGGCAAAGGAGGGCTTGGTACAATGTCTGCGGCACAACGATCGCAGGCCGCTGGACTGCTGGCAAGAAGTGGAGGCCTTCAGACGTGAGGTTGGGAAGCTGGAACAGGCCTTCATTCACAAGGCTGGAAGATGAGACGGTTTCACTCCACTGTACAGTTTGCGGATGTAGAGCACGCGAAGTGGTTAGATGCGCTGAGACGCAGCGCACCTATTCCCTATCCCAGCCATCATGGCACGCGAAGGTCGACCGTCCAGCAACGCCGGCCATCTCGAAGGATCGACAAAACTCGAGCTCGTGGTTGTCAGCCGATCATCTATGCTCAAGCGAGAGCTGACAGCAGCCTCGTGCCAGTACAAAGACTTTGTCCATTGCTATTACCATTACTATGCTCTTGCCAATCACCGCTCAGCTACGGATCGTTCTCTGTTTCTGGAACTTTGAGCGGCGCGCCTCCACTCCACTGGTATGCTTAAGTTCGAGCTACTTGCTGAGCTTCAGACCAGCTGCGCGTTGCAGGTGACGTGCATTGCCAGCTCCTCCTTCTCTTTTCCTCAGCCAAAGCCCGTCCTAGGCGGTATGGGTGTCGGGCAAGATTTGCTAACGGGTGCAGCAGTCCGCCACATCGCCAAACAGGAAGGATTCAGCTATGCGCACGCTCCCACATCGACCCAGTGTATCGACGCGCGCTGGCACGTCTGGCCGTCACGGACGAGCACGCAGAATGATCTCTTGTGTCGGAAGCTCGGTGGAGGAGAATCGGAGCAGGTGTCTTCGACGACGCTACGGCAAGTACGTCGAAGTTAAAGGCACCACTTCCGCTTCTATGCAGCGAGCCGTGCCATCCCATATTTCGCCATCGCCGCCCTGCTAAGCACATTTCTAATCCATCGCACCTATTCTTCCAAGCATGGGTCTCCTCGGGTCATTCAAAGATAGGATCAAGAGCTTGGTCCATAGAGCACATCGCAAGAAGCCAGAGGATGATTCTAGTCGACCAGCCGGCGATCCCGCCCCTTCAACAATCATAAAGGAACCGGAACAATTGGTCTCACTGTGGCGACCTAGTCAAGCCCAGCAGAAAGACATTGTGAACCGAGACCAAGCGCCGCTCAAGACGCAGAATCGTGCTGTGCAAAATGTGCAGGCTGCGACCACCAGCGGGACCCTGCAGATCGTCCTTGAGAACCAGTCCAACAATGCTGATATGTACGCGTATATCACGGGTCAAGCTATCGACAACAATGGGGCCTTGTTTTTGCTTCAGTCGGACGCCAGGACACCTTACTATCCTTCCAGTCCATCTTCTACAGGACAGCCGATACCAGTCAACATCTCCATACCCCTCGGAGCTCCAGGCAACAGAGTGAATGCGACCATTCCTCGCATCGCTGGTGGACGAATCTGGTTCTCGCAAGGCTCGCAGTTGACATTTTTGCTCAATCCTGGCCCCGGCCTCGTTGAGCCTTCAGTCTTCAACCCATCTGATCCCAACTACAGCAAAAACTTTGGCTTCTGCGAGTTCACATTCAACTCGGCGCAGGTCTTTGTCAACATTTCTTATGTTGACTTTGTCAGCAACATCCCCATTGCACTCACCCTGCAGGACACCTCTGGAGGTACTCAGCATGTCAGCGGAATGAGGGCTAATGGCCTTGCCACCGTGTCCCAAGGTCTGCGTGACCAGACAGCGAGGGATGGCCGCCGCTGGAGTTCATTGATCGTGCAAAGTAACGGCCGAGATCTGCGTGCCCTCAGCCCCAATTCAGGCATCACGAATAACCCAGACTGGTTCGCGACATATTGGACAGACTATGTCAACCAGGTATACTCCAAATACAGAAACGAGGACCTCATCATAGACACTCAGGCTCAATGGGGTGAAGTCCGCGGGCGGGTCGGAAATGACGGCGTCCTAGACTGTGGTGACGGCAGCAGATTTCCCAGACCCAATGCAAAAGACATTTTCGGGAACAGTACAGGACCTTTTGCGACCGGCGGCAACGCAAAGACGAATGCGATCATACCTCGTCTCGCTGCAGCCTTCAATCGAAGCACCTTGCTGCTCAGCAATCAGACCCCGAATGGTACAAATCCTTCCCAGTACTACCAGAACTCACCCACGAATGTAAGACAATGATTCCCAACCCGATCGATCATCTTAGACATGGCTGGCTGACATAAGATCTTAGCACTACGCTCGCCTCGTTCATGCTGCAAATGTCGATGGCATTGGTTACGCTTTTCCATACGATGATGTGACTCCAGACGGAGGTGTGTACAGAACGATTCCAGGCATAACCAAACACTAACTTTCCAACAGGAAAACCCCAAGAAGGCGCCATCTTCAGCTTCTCTCCATCTAGACTCATCGTTACAGCTGGAGGCAACAATGCGCACGCCTGATGCAGGCTTGGACGCAGTCAGCTGCGATCAAGGCCGGTCGCGTTGCCAGATCTGTAAGATGTCACGTCCCCAGGTACCGACAGCTTGGGATTTGTGATATGTTTGAATCTGCAATTGATTGGCGCTCACGCAATCCGCACTTTCTTTGGGTCGGAGAACTCGTCGCAAAGCCGTGCAAGCGAAGTTCGAGATTTTGTGGAGACTTACCTATCTATGCACATAAGCTGTGCTGTACCTGTTGCATATTAGTTGATCAATCAGATTCAATCAATCATAATGATGATCGTGAACCGAGTTTTCATTCGTCTTCTTGTTCGTTTCAGATCTATCGTATGCTTCATCTTAGGAGTTCGAAGAAGCTACAAGGACTTCATGTACTCGTTGACGGATTGGGATGTCCCGAATTTCCCTTGTTCCAAATCGATGCGGAATATATAGCATTGGTAGCACGACTTGCTCCGCCTTGCGTTTTCTCATTCGTTCTCACATCTATCACGCTTTGTCTCTGTAGCTTGCCCCGTCGTTCGGCGCTGCGGCTTGGTTGACACAGCGTCGGCTGTGGCTTTTTTTGTTACTACCATTTTCTTCTTTTTAACACCTTTCTTTGTGATAGTCTCTTCGATTTTGAGGTTTTGACAATTCCATTTCGCTTTACTGGCAACATGGACTATTTGAAAAGACTGCGATCCTCAATGACATGGACTGATCGATCGATGGAACGAGAAGATCTGCTGGTTGAAGAAGCAGAAGACAAGAATGATAATAAACTTATCCGAGAACTTGAAGCGAAATATCAATCACTAAGGCGGGCCTTTATCATTGTTGTTCTACTGTTAGGCTGCATCATAGTGGCCGTGGCATTACCATGGCACACCAATGATCTTCATGCATCGCGATCAAAAGGTCCGGTTCCAGAGAGTAAGTGTGGGCTTCAAAGGCGTGCGTACAGAACAAGGACAAGTTGTTGACAAGATTGCAAGTACCTTTCTCGAGCGTGACGTTCCGTCAGAATGAGAAGTTCTCTGGCACTTGGTCCCCACAGTCTGATGATGCTTGGGTTGAGATGATGCCCGTAAGTGGAGAGAAAAACACTAACCGTGGCTACCTCGTAATGCAACGACCTCTGAGTGCAAGCGCCTAACTAGATTGGCTCTCTCAATCCATGGAAAGCTTTGCTGATTGGCTTAGCGACCTGCGGTTGCACTCAGAGGNTTCCACGGTTAGTACTAGTATTGAAGAAAAGACGAATCTGACATTTGACAGCCCGGTGACGGCTTCGTAGTCATCGATAATCCGCGCGACTATGACTTGCCGCCTGGCAAAAGTAGTCGCTATGGCGAGGTCTACGATATCAGCATGTGGCATCAACTGCATTGCCTTCTGCATATGCGGACGTATATGTCGACAATGCATTCGTTTCTGAATCAGACGAATCTGCAGCAGATGTATGATGTGGTGCTGGCACCGCAAGTCGATCATATACTGCACTGCTTCGATTATCTTCGGCAAGCGGTCATGTGCGCGGGCGATATGACACTGGAATGGCCGAGGACAGAAAGTGATGGGAGAAGGTTCGCTGTGGATGGTTGGGACGTGAAGCATGTGAGTATCGCTCCGCATTGATGGGCTGTGCTGTGGTCGTCAGCGACGTTGCAGGCATTCGTTTGATACCAATGCTTACCTGAGATCTGTCGTTTCTAGGATAATTGTAAAAGCTGGGACGCCATGTCAGACTTCGTGGAGAAGCACGCAGTTGGTCATCATCACCGACGAGAATCCTTGTGAGAATCGATCACTCGAATGTCAGCGAATAGAAGAGCGCTGTTAGCTGAGGTTTACAATCGCTCCTCCGAAACACTGCAAGACACTTTCGCTGCAGGGCTACATAAAGCAGCAGAGACCTTTCGCCTGGTTTAGAGAAAGCGGTGCCTCCGGGCATATCTCACGGCGACATCGAAGGCGCAGACTTTGGCGGTGGTCAACCTCGTGAGCTGACAAGCTTCATTCTCATCGGAGAAAAGTGTGCGTGCTGGCGATTTCTGGGCCATGCTAAAGGGTATCAGAACTCTATCTATATCTCTACGCTCGTTGAAGAGACGTGGAACCTGACTTTTGAACTCCTGAGGGAGAACGCTCAGTCAAAATAATTCGGGAACAGCCATTTGAGGTTCTCCTTGGCCTTTGCTGAGCGACCCGCAGGAGCGGTCATACTGCCTGCGAATTTGCTCTGACCAGCCAGGTGTGTGGCCGACACGACATCAGCGTGCTCCTCTTTGCTCAGCTCGTTCAGCACGGCGCCCACGAAGCGGTAGGCATTCTCCGAATTGGCCTTCATGTTGCCCATGACCATTTCCACTGTGACATCGCCAGCAGACTCGTGCCAGCAGTCGTAGTCGGTGGACATGCAGATCATGGCGTATGCAATCTCTGCCTCTTTCGCCAGCTTCGCCTCAGGAAGGGCAGACATGTTGATGACGGAGCCGCCAAAGCTACGATACATGTTGCTCTCAGCACGCGTGGAGAACTGCGGTCCTTCCATGCAGATGAGCGTGCCCCGGTCGTGCAGTATCACGCCATCGCCTTCCAAGCTGTGTCCGCAACGACGCACAATGTCGGCGATCTTGCCGTCGAAAGGATCGGCAAAGCCTACATGTCCGACCATGCCGCCCTCGAAGAAGGTGAAGGGCCGGATGCCCTTGGTGCGGTCGATGATTTGGTCGGGAACGACAAAGTCGCGGGGCTTGATGGCCTCTTGCAGACTGCCGACAGCGGAGAAGGCGATGACGGTGCGGACGCCTAGTTTGCGCAAGGCGGCGATGTTGGTGCGGGCGGGGACCTCGTGAGGCGCGAACTCGTGGTGCAGGCCATGGCGGGAGATGAAGGCGACGGGGATCGGCTTGCCGGTCGACGGCGAAGGGTGGTGGAGAACGGAGACGGGCGATGAGGGAGAGCCCCAGGGCGTGTCGACCTTCAAAGAAGCGACATGAGTGAAGCCGGAGAGCGACTGCAGGCCGGTGCCTCCAATGACTCCAATGGAGATGGGATCTGGAGATGGTCAGCCCGCCCGCTGCCAATGTTCTGCACAGCCAGCTCGCCGTTTGCGCCTACCATCGTAGTGATCCGCGACGTTTGTCATCTTGCGGAAGCCGATATGCACGCGACGAAGTGACTGGAGGGGTCTGATGAAGGACTGTGCACCGCGCATTCGAACACAGCAACTTTTTGTTCGGACTAGAATACAGACTCGAGCTTGAACCCCGCCAAACCCCTGTTCATACGTCAGCGACGAACCCACGTGCTAGCCAGGGCTGATACCAGGAAGCCCAGTTTGTTTGTGGGCAGTAAAATAGAAAATGGGAAATACGCTCACTTCGCGATCTCTCTCGCGAACTGGGTCCCGTAGCTGACTCGTCAGTCGAGACAGAGCGGAGGTACGAGGAGAGGTACAAAGGCAAGAGAGGATGACTTTAGCATTGAAAGACACATGTCGAGTTCTCTTGTCTGGTTTGCGGTCAATTGCTTCGTTATATCATGGGATTACCCACTCGAGCCACTTCTGTACTTAAACGCCATGCTTCAATGCTGACTGGGGATATCATTCTTTCGTGAATCGTCTTACTGTAAAACCTGTTGCCGTAATCAAACATAGTACTGCCGGCGGCTCGATGAACGATGGGTGCTGCGCCGGCTGCCATCCACATATCCTCCCCGGCTGCGAGATCGGCTTCCTGACCTGCGGTGGCCGTGACGAGAGTGATGTGTTGTTGTGCGCTTCACCACGACTCGATCGTCGTCCTTGTGGTGGTGATGTACCAGTAGAGCCAAAAGCTGTGTATTCATTAGTCAAGTTCCATAAGGAGTATCAGATGTCAACTTACGAATGTGACGAAGAACGCGATAATGTTGATAATGGCCAATGCCCAACTCGCCTTCAACATGGCGCATGTCTTGTTGACGTTGAATCCGAAATCATTACCGCTTCCGTCTCGGCCATAGTATCCAAATGGACCCAAGTCGACGTAGAGGTTTCCGGTGGTGAAGTTGGCACAGTCTGCGTTGCGAATGCCTCGAAGCTCCACCACACCAGCGATCAGAGCGCCCACAAATGCAAGATCAACGAGCGCCACGAAGAACGCGTCGTGTCTGGCGCGCAAGTAGCTGATCAGAGTGAAGAAGGCCCACGCCAGTGCCAGTACCGATACTATGAACAGCACCAGGATGAAGTTCGGCGTGAGCTGGTTGTTGTCGACGAAGCCGTGTACGAACCAGCCTAGCATGCCCACAATGGGGACGAGAGTGATGATTTCGAAGATGCGCCATGAAAGGAACAGAAAGCCGGAGATGGCCATCTTTTCGGCGGCACCGTCTTGTTGTGGGAGCTTTCGTTCTTGTCCAAAACGATCGTCGTTGAAGGCTCAGAGCTGGAGCCGCTAGTCAACCCAGTCTGGTCGAGTTGCGCAACGTTGTAACGAAGAGGCAGAGTGCGGCGCGAAGCTGTTCGGATTGCGTCAAAGGTGGTGGCAAGCTGGCGACGAGGTTGCGACGAGATCGATTTGTTGGCAGATGACAGCTCACAGCCTCACATTAAAGTATTCGTCGATCCGAGAGGGCTGGGAGTCGAGTCTCGCAACGGTCGCGAGCGTTGCGCCAGAAATAAATGTCGAGCAGCTTCGAGGCGGCCGGTGAATTGTTCGAGACCGGAACCAAGAAACGTGAATGATCAGATGCTGCAGATGTTTAGATTATAACTACCATCATCATCGCCAGTGTCGCTTAGGACCTGGTGGCTGGGGGTCGATTTAGCCACGAGGTGGCTGGAGCTTGGCGCGCGTGTTTTGCTTTGCTGTTCGTCGGCAACGCTCGTCGTCACTTCTCCTTCCAATCAACGGCGATTCAGTCTCATCACGCATACGGCGCCATCGATAACAATGCCAGGCGAAAGAACAAGATGCGCTCCTTCAAGTGAGCGAGGCAGCTCACACCTGTAGGCGAGCCTTTGGAAGCGACCAACGCATACCCTTGTTACCACTAGGAACCTCTTGAGCGTGCTGCCCGAGACACTCCAGTACCTATGCACTCCTTGTTTCTCTGGTTCCTTTTTTTTTTAACATCTCCAAGTCGTTCTGCTTGTATAGAAGGAGCTGGACAGAGGTGAAACTCGCGATGAGAAGCAAGTGAGGGTGTTCCCGGCCTTCCGTCTCGCGACCCGGTATGAGACGACAAGACGCAGCAGACTCGCATCTCGTGGCAGGTTCGAATTTCCGACTACCTTCCTTCAACAGACAGAGCGACCTAGAAATGCTGCTCCAAGCAGGGATATGAGGAGCACTGGAATAGCCGACTTTTTCAGCAGCACGTGGTCTTGAGGGTGTAAATACGAAGTCCTAGCTGCTGTTTCGCTTTCGGCAGTAGGGTGGTCACAACTGTTCTCGGCGCGTACTTTGGCAAGATGCAGGGCCGCGCAACGTAAGGCCATCCTTCAGTGAAAGAGACATAGCTGCTTCACCACTGCCGGCCTGGGTCTATGGACTGCAAGCTGGCCATCTCTCAGAACCTCCAACCTCACCCAATCGCTTCAAATGACCACATAACCGCAACTTCTACGCTTTTCCGGTCGCCCAGGGATATCCCGCTATGTGTGGTTGCCTCTGCGCTTCGAAGTGCGCTTGAATTTCTTTGTTCTCGGAGCATTCCCCACACACTTGTACCGCCTGGAACAAAGACAGCATTGTCCATCTGCCGCCGATCCATTCTCACCCAATCCGTCATGATCGCATTCACAAAAACGAATCGAGAGCTCTCCACGTGCGTCTTGACGCTTGCGGAAAACAACATGTAGTGGCGATTCACACACCTATGGCCAGACTTTTGGTCCAGGTAGGTACAAGTAGGAGTCTGATGTTTTGACCCTGTTCACAATCGCAGGTATCGCAGACACGGGACTTCGAGTACGATCTTTCATACATCTCTCATTTGGTCGCTCACAATTATGGCCGTCCAAGTTGGAAAGCCCGCGCCTGCATTCAACTGCACAGCTGTCGTCGACGGCAAATTGAAGAATGTCTCCTTGGAAGGCTACACCGCGGCAAACCACTGGGTCATTCTGGTACGATTTGAAACGACTCTCTCCTTTTGCCGAGTACTCATATATATTCGCTAGGTCTTCTTCCCAAAAGCCTGGTCATTCATATGCCCGACAGAAATCCGAGCCTTCAGCTCACGCCTTGAAGAATTCCTCTATGCTCGTTCCTGTGCCGTCATCTTTGCTAGCACCGACAACGAGCACTGCCTCAAAGCATGGAACTCTACTTCCGAAATGGAAGGCGGACTCGGAGGTGTCCACGTTCCACTCATCTCCGACTGCAATCACAAACTAAGCAGAGACTATCAAGTCCTCATCGAAGAAGAAGGCATCGCCCAGCGAGCCTTGTTCATCATCGACCCCAAAGGCCGCATTCGCAACATCACAATCAACGACACCGATGTCGGCAGAAGTGTAGATGAAGCCCAACGTATACTCGATGCTTTAGTCTTCAAAGACGAATTCGGCGAGGGCTGCCCAGTCGACTGGAAGAAAGGTGATAAAGGTCTCGACTATAAAGCCGAAACTACCATCGAAGGGGCTGTCGAAGTGAACAAGAAGTCTTGGTCCGAGTGGGCAAGACCAAAGCTCCAACGTGCTTGGTCTGGAACCAGCGGAATTTCGACGCTCTCGACTGGCACTCCACCTACGAGCCGCCCTACCTATGATCGATCGATTAGTCACTCCGGTACCCATAGCCCACTTTACAGTCCTGGAGCACGTGGATCTCATGTCAGTTTGGGTACGCAGATGGAGGAAGCATTGATGCAGCAGAGGATGGAGAATTTGAATGCTGCGATGCAGAATCAGAGTGTTGGGATGGCGGTGTAGAACATCTAGGGGCTAGAGAATATTATACAGGAAGCATCAAAAAGTGCAAATAGCAAGATAAAGTACACATCTCTCTAAATAGGATGCTCATGAGGACTGTTTATCAGTTGAATACAACTCAGTTGGCTACATCTCAGTTGACTACTTTCAGTTGACTACGAAATGACCAAGTAGTAAAATGCACGTAGTTCGAGAAGCCATTGACAAGCAAGACATTCATGCTCACATGAATCATTGAAGTATATCGTAGCGGTCCGTGAGCAGAATCTATCGCTCTAACTGTAAACTACGCTGCGTTCGAACAAGTGCATTTCAAATCTGGCCATGTCGGCGCTTCAATGCATTCCGCTATCCAAACGACTCTGTAATGCAAGACCTCTGCTACGCAAAAGAGGGCACCAATGATCATGACTGCTGGTCCAGGCGATCAGGCCCAGCTCCTGGCGCCGCCTGCACTGATTGAGGCGGTCGAGCAAGCTGAGCGGGTTCCATACTCGCTATCGGAGGAAGCGTGACTGCGCTCGGAGCTGCAGGAGACAGTTGCAATTTCTTGACCGGTATGTTGTTGTTCGTGGTCGTTGCCTGTCCTGGGGATGGTGCGAGCGGCGTGAGAGGCGGCAATACCTTCGACTCGCTCGGAGGTGGCGCAGGACTCTGAGCATGCTTCTGCGGGATTTGGGACGAGCCTTTTGGCCAGGGCCCGTTCATGCCATCAGCTGCCACTTGGTTCGCGTGTGGACTTCCGCCTGCATTGGTCTGCGGATTATGCATGAGCGGTGTTTGCAGCTGCCGAGGCGCTAATTGAGGTGGTGACTGCTGCGGCGGTCGAGGACTCAACTGCGTCTGCTGGTGATGGTGACTGGGCTGAGCCTGAGCCTGATATTGCTGCTGCTGAGGTTGTTGTTGGTGATAGTGCTGCTGTACTTGTGAGGCAGCAGGCGGGTAAAGTGGCTTGGCATCTGCCTTGCTGGGTGACTGGAAGCCGTTCATCTGGGATGACCCTGGCCTATACTGAGCTTGTGGAGGTGGTCCTTGCTGTTGGTACTGTTGCCACGGCTGGTGATTTTGCGGATATTGGTAGTGGTTATACTGAGCTTGTGGTTGCTGGTAGTGATGAGGCGGAGGTGGATGAAATTGTGCGCTTTGCGGGTGGCCACCCGCATGCGACACAGCATCGTGGTGCACGCTTTGGTGTTGTTGATAATGCGAGGGTTGCCCGTTCTGCACTGTGGGAGCGGCATAGGGACGAGGCGGCGCAGCAGTGTCGTTGAATCGTGACGCGAAGTTGCCAACCGCAGGGTATCCATGACCCTGTGGGAGCTGTGGCATGGCTTGAGGCGACCGGTACTGTCCATTCGTTTGTGCTCCCGGGCTTTGTTGAGCAGGTGCATTCTGGCCGTTCGCTGTTGGTGGCCGGATATTCACCTTTTGAGCCTCGGGACTGTCGCTGGAACGATTGTGTAGCTTCAACGGAGGGATCTTGGGCTTCTTCGCGTCTTCTTCCTTCCGCTTGCAGGTGCCGCAGATGAAAATGAAAGCCTGTTGTTCTGCTTGCTTCGGCGTGTAACCATGGCACGCGCTGTGCTCCCAGACGTTGCAGCGCTCACAACTCACACTATGCGTTCCGTCGTCCATATTCTCACCGTGTTGGCCACAGACGGAGCAGTCGAAATACCAATTGCCCTCCTCTTCAGCTAGCCTCTCCAGCTCTTTCTTGTGCTGCTCGCGTTGCGTTTGTCGTTGACGCCCAGAAGCCCGCTTCCCGTCACTGTCGACAGTCTCTGGCTCTACCCCTTGCGATTCCGCACGTTCGCCTTCTGCCTCTAGTCGCGCCAGCTCTTCTTCGTGGAGAATGCGTTTAGCTTCTCGCTCGCGCACACGCTGCTCGCGGGTAAGACGTCGAGATTCGTGTCCCTGATTGTACGCGTTAGTTCATATTACCACCCACGCTCCCTCGAGTAGGTAGTGTCTGAGCCTGTTGCTCAAATCGCAACTTACCTCTTCAATACGCTTCTGTCTTTCCTGCTCCGCGCGTGCCATTTTGAGTTCGCGTTCCCTCTGCTCCTGTGCCTCGCGCTCCTTGCGGGCCTCGGCCTCCTTGTCAGCCTTGTCGGCCAGACGACTGGAACGTTTGGCAGTGGCCATCTTTTGCAGATTCTCGAGTTCCCGAATCTTCTTCATCTGCTTCGCCTTCAATGCCTCCGCCCGCTTCTCGATGATCGGAAGCACGTCCTCCTCCAAGCGGGTACGCAGCTGCTTCTCGTTCGGATCGCGAGACCGGAAGATAGTCGCCATGAAGTCCTGGTATTCCTCTAGCGTGATGGCGATCAATGACCAAGTCTTACCCGTGAAGCCATACCCCGGCTCTTCCATTTCGAGCTGCGTGGCGCCCTCCCCCTTACCCATATCTGTGACATCCATGGCGCTTGCATCTGTTTCTGGCTGGTCCTCCAACTCTTCCTCTTCGCTCTCTTCGACTTTCCTACGCTTGCTCGTACGGGTTCCCCGCGTGGGTGCCTTCCTCTTGTTCTTAGCACTGGCTTTTGGCTTCGCCTTGGGCTTCGGCGTGGGTGGTGGCAGAGGTTCGTCAGCGCGGCGGTAGAGTCGGTTGTCGTCCAACACATAGTATGAACGATCCTCCTTGTCCCAGCCAAGAGGCTCGATGCGCCAGTTGAGATGATCTTCGTCCTGTGGCATCAGGCTCCGCATGCGATCTGCGTTGCCCAGCGTCCACACACTCAGCTGGTGCAGGACTTTGATACGGGTGCAAATGTCCATCTCGTTGAACTTCGTCGGCTCCTCGTCGTCTCCGAAGGGATTGCGATTCGGTGCCTTGGCAACGTACTGGCGGCGAGTGTACTCGTCGAAGATCTCTGGCCTGCATTCTCATCACATCAGCATAGCACTCTCGTGCGAACCATACTCCTGCACTCACGTCAGACCTCGATGGGACGAGACATATTTGAGCAGCTGTAGGCCGATGTGAGCCAGTTTGTCGCTCGGCGTGGGTTGTAGACATTCGTGTTCCAGATCCTAAATCACAGGCTCTAGTCAGCGCAAGTGCGCCCCAAAAATTGTATCACGGCCTTCATATTTGACCGCAATCACATGCGCGCGCTGCGGCGATGCTCGGGGATGCCGCGTACCTCGATGTCGAAGTCGTCGTCAATTCGCACCGCAGACCCGAAGAGGAAGATGTACTGCATGAGGCTGGCGAATTCCCACATGTTGCGCAGCTTCATGAGCGTTTCGTTCGTCGCTGCGGCCATCGATGGCTCGGCGACAGCATCGAGCTGCGCTGCTTCGGCGGTGCGCTTGTATCGCGGCATGGCGATGGGTGTCAAGCCAGGGGCCCCGCGCGGACAGCCGTCCGATGGCGCAGGTAGAATTAGCGATGCTCGTCGGGCGCGCGGCGGTGCGTGGAGGGTGTCGAGGTGGGCGAGGGGAGCGGTGGTGTTGCCGGCGACATATGGACCATCTTCGCGTTTGAATGATGGTCACGTCTCGCACATCCAACGCGCCGTGCCAAGAAGTTTGCGCAGGGATCGCTGCCCTTGCAGCTGCCGACGTCAGCACTTCGTTCACTCCACGTCCTTGCTATCAAAATTGTCTCCTAGACACACACGCTACAGGGTAGCGGAGTGGTGGCTTCCGGGATTGTGGACAGCATGCCGACAGCAGAGGCAGACGGCGAGGCAGCGGAGCGTCTGCTCGAAGACGACGACAGCGACCTCCGACCCGCACTGCAACGCCTGCACACGGCCGACGAGGCCGGCGATGGCAACGAACAGCAATTAAATGCAGCGGAGCATGCGCGAGTTCGCAAACTGCTGTACGCATCGCACTTCCTGTCGACGTGGAACGCACGCCTCTTCGAGTTTGGCAGCTTCCTGTTCCTCGCGAGCCTGTTCCCGGACACGCTGCTGCCCGCCTCCATCTACGCCCTGTCCCGCTCCGCCGCGGCGGCCCTGCTGTCGCCGCTGCTGGGCTCCTACATCGATAAGGCCGACCGACTGAAGGCGGTGCGCGTCTCAATCGGTGAGCTTCTTCGCTTCCACCGATCTGGCTGAAGGGTGTCTCTGACTTACGCCGACAGTCAGTCAGCGTTTGGCCGTGTCCCTCTCGTGCCTGGGCCTCTTCCTTATAGCCGAATTCATCTCTCTGCGCAGCCGCCAATGGTTTCCCGTCTGTCTCCTGCTGCTTTCCATTTTGGCGTGCGTGGAGAAGCTAGGATCGGTCCTCAACACCATCTCAGTGGAGCGCGACTGGGTCGTCATCGTGGCTCAGGGACATGGCGAGAGACTCCGAGCACTCAATTCACAGATGCGCCGAATCGACCTTTTCTGTAAGCTGTTCGGGCCGCTAGCTATTGCCTTGCTGGATGGCTACTCCACAAAGATTGCCATCATCGCGACTGGTGCTTTGACTCTACTTTCCGTCTTCATCGAATATTTCACCATTGCAAGAGTCTACAGCGTGATTCCAGCGCTTAGGGAGCCCAAGAGACTAACACTGTCTCGAATTCCGAGTCGTGACGCCGTGCTCGCCAGAGTCAAGACCTACATGGCGAAGTCCAGGAGCTACGCTAGAAACCCGGCATTCTTGCCGTCCTTCTCACTTGCTTTGCTGCACCTCACTGTGCTCTCTTTCAGTGGGCAAATGGTCACGTACGTCAAACAATCATGAATGGCATCATTGCAATGTTGGCGATGTGCTGGTCTGACTTCGCTGCTTTAGATATTTGGTGGCTCTGGGGCTATCGTCTACCATGATCGGCTCTCTGAGGGCGGCGTCTGCTGTTTCAGAACTGTCCGCCACCTACTTTGCCCCGAAGATCATGTCCCGGATCGGAGCTATAAGAGCAGGTATCTGGTTTCTGAGTAAGTATTGCTGCTCCTATTTGCTTCCTGCTGCACACGTCTGCAATTCAGTGCGCGATCTGCGATTAAAGCCCCCACTAATGCCGATAGACTGGGAAATCGCCTGCTTGATTGCGGCTTGTTTCGTGCTCTGGTGGCAACTGAGTCCTGAAGCAACTGCCATCGGTCTGGTCTCGACGGTTGTTGCAAGCCGACTTGGCCTTTGGGGCTATGATCTGAGTGCTCAGCTAATCGTACAAGAAGTAGGTGCATCACTCCAGAGCTAATGATAGACCGCTGACATCTCTAAGGAAGTCGAAGAAGCCGATCGAGGCACCTTCTCCAGCCAAGAATTCGCTTTACAGAACATCTTTGAGATGTTCGCTTTTGCAAGCACCATCTTCTTCTCACGGCCCGCACAATTCGTAAGCACGACGCGTTTTCATCTTGGGCGGCGCAGCTTCTAATGTTACAACAGAAATATCCTGCGACTATTAGTGCTGCCGCGGTGGCACTCGCGGGAGTCTTTTACTCGGTTTTCGTCCGAGCAAGGAGAGGCCATTTGATTCACGTTTGTCGATGCCTCGATCGACACGAGATGCGCAAAAAGCATCATCACTGGTGGCAGACTATTCCTGAGGCAGACCCTCTCGTCGGAAACGAGGATGATGGGCATGGGTATAGCACACCTGTGGCAGAGTCTGGTGAAGCCGTATCCCCTCCAGATCGAGAGCACTAAACTGAGTGAGACTAAAATATACCCTATCAGCAAGACAATATGTGGCCACAGGAGCAGTCACTTGCTCCAGTGCTCCCAAAAAGGATCGGTCAAATGAGCTTAGGTTTGGTATATCTTCTGTCAAAGCACACCAATTTTGATCTTATGCTATGGCCACACGCTGGGCCAGAAACTCCGCTGCTGAACCAGCGTCGCTGCCGTACGTGTAGTGAGGAGGCAAGACCAGCAGCAGTCCGTCGCACAGAACATCCCCCGGTGCACAAAATACTTTCGTCTTCTCTGTCGGATAGTTCGGAATCCGGCCTCCATTCTGCTTGTTATGGGTGTACCCAAAGAGCACAGCGCCCGCGACTTGATCAACCACGGCGGGAGCTTGCGTTGTGAGGTCGGAGAGAGCTGCCGCGATCACTGCAGTTCCTTGTCTGTCGCGGTCGTATTAGCGCGTTGGATGAGAATGGATGCACAGGTAGAACTCACGAATAGCCTCCACTCGTCACAATAGTATCAGGACATTTGGTGTTGGCGAGCGTGAAGAGGCGGATGGCTTCTTGGATGGCAGCATCGGATGTGCCTCGAGGGAAGGTGTTTGCAATCAGAGTCCCCAAATAAGGTCCACCGACGCCTTGACAAGCAACGTTCTCGCTACCTAGCAGACTCTTTAAAGCCGCGCAGGTTTGAGGCCCTACCACAGTGCCCTTGAGATCATGTCAGTGTCAAAATCTGAAAGAACGACAACTTGATCGACATCACTTACCATATTGCCCGTCTCAGTCGAGCCACGAGCGAAAATGAATGTCACCTGGCGACATGAACCATTCTCTAGCTCGTCTGAGGAGGAACTTTGGCGGGCAATGAGTGCTCCCTCAGCTTCAGCTGGGCCGGCCGCGGGAAACGCGGAGACAGTGGCGGCCAGAAGGGCTACGATGGCGGAAGTGAAGAACATGTTAACGAATGTTCGGATTTGATGGATGAACGAATGGCAATAGTTAGAAGAACACACCTTAGCTGCTAGAGAATTACAAGTGGTCTCGTGTTATATAGTTACAGTAGCAGAGCCGTGAAGCGAGCGGTAGTCGGTATAGACCCGCTGATCACATTTTCCGTATCGGAAGCTCAATTTTGTTTGTCGTATGGTCGCGAACCGCAAGCGACTTGCTCAGTGCTAGCCCTCTAGACCGTCGTGTTCTCGATCGACTCTGGGATTAAGCAAGGGCTTCTTGATACTAGTCGCGGGCCGAAAAGTGTCCTAGCAAGGTTATTGGTCTTCAGACTTCCCATTTCGGGTAGTGGACTGCTCTATGAGGCTATGGGCGACGAGTCCATTTTGTAGACCGTAGGCCGGGAGCACTGGGCGCGAGCGAAAGTGATGGGTGGGTATTCTTCGCAGTGGTCAACGAACAAACTGAGGGTAAAAAGTGAAGTGTTCACAGCCTTTGCTTCCAAAGTGCTTTATTTCGCCTTTGCTATGTGGCTCCCTCGCGCTGTGCTTGGTGACATTCGTCCCTTACGGAGTTTGATCGAGGATGGCCCGTGTGCACTGGTGAATATGGATCTCCAATCCAGGTGCGGTCGGGTCAGCCAGCGCGCAAGCCACTGCGCGGGGATCGGATCGTCCAATTNTGCCTGAACGATGAAGTATACAGTGCCACTTGTCATATCTTTACAAGCCCATCAGGAATGGGACAGCTACAGAGAGTATGTTTCTGCCAGCTGATGTGATATCGAAAGTAGACTCGGCAATTGGCTGTGGGGGAGGTTTCTCTCAACCTGCATAGTGAAGCCTGCATCGACAAGCCCGTTCGCCCCAATACGAGGAGGCATGTCGTGCCTCCAGGGTTGGGGTGGGTGGCTTTCGAATATGCTATCCTTTCAGAGATAGTATGATTTCGGACGTCCAAGGCATTCGTCATTCGTATCTTGTCTGCTTCATTGTGCAGTTCAATCCGATGTCTTTGCTTTTTTGGAGGGCAGAGCCGGAACCTTGAAGCCAGCAGCACCTACCTTTGCTGGTACTGGCGGAGGTGGCATGGAGCCACCGACCTGAGTGAAAGTTCCGTTCTTGAACCATCTGTCCTCATCAGCCTTGCGCTTCCGATTGGCTTCTTCACGCTTTCGAGGGTCAATCAGTTCCATGCCTTGAACGGGCGTGAACGCCACACTGGTGGCCGTGCCAGCAGGGCCGCCAACGTTCGTCTTAAGCCCGCTGCCGACACCTGCAACACGCAAGCCCTGGGCTCTGAGTGCACCTTGAGTAGCAATCCCGCCTTGGAACCCACCAAGCGAGGTAGCAGTTCCGCTCGAGCCAGCCGGCGTTGCACCGCCCCAGCCAGGATTCTTTTTCGACAACTTGGCTCTGGTGCGCTGATCAATCTGTGTAGCACGCACACGACCATCGTCTTGGGCACCAATCATGCCGAGACCCTTCGAGCTGTCGCCAAATCCGACCTCGGCTTCTTCCTTGCCAAAAGCCATTCTGTTCTGCGCCTTTCTCAAGTCGGTCATGGCAGTCGCCTCCTTCATTTTGCGCACTCTTCGTCCGCCGCGCTTTCGGCTCGGTTTGTCGTCTGGAGCCGGAAGGGCTCGTACACCACTGTTTGGGGGCGCCTCAGAGAGCTTGTTGATACGCCGCTCGACTTCCTCAGCCATCTGCAGGCCAAATTCACCGGATGGTGATGCGTGAATGCTATCCGTGCGTGCAACGAGCACAATCTTCGCAGACAATATCCTCATGGCCTGTACCTTGAGATCTTGCGGGATTGATCGGATAATGTCGTTTTGATATAGGATGCCTTGGTTCCGGATACCTACATTAGTCGCCAGACCCACGCCACGTGCACTCTTCTTGTTCCCGAGCGGTGCGATGTTGCAAGACGGCGTCTTTGCAAGCCCTGTAATGCCTCCTGTGTAGTTGATCAGCTGCGCTGCGGTCGATGAACCGATCAAAGCTGTCAAATTCGGCGCGAACATAGACATTCGGGATTGGACGTAGTCCGTCAGGGTTCGCTTTGCGCTGTCCAGCCTCAAAACCATTTGACAAGCTCTGCGCACGGTTGCAAGCTCCTCGTCAGACAGCGGTGTCCCGGCCGTATTAGTCGCTTCGACTGTCACAACCATAAGAGAAGGTCCGTCCAGAACTTGCTTGAGCGACTGCCCTACGATATTCTCTTTATTCTCGCTGATCGCTCGGATATCCTCCATGGGTCCATTCCCGATGATCGCAACTGCCTTTGCATAGTCGAGAGGGTTCTGAATCAAAGTTTCCAGCTCAGGAAACCGTATTGAGTAGTGGTCGCGAATGAATTTGTGCACCAGGATGATCTCTCCATCGATCTGGGTTGACAGTGTATTCGACTGTGTGAGCAGCTTGTACTCGGGGTTGTCCTCGATATTGCCAATATTCCTAGTCTCTTGACCAGGCGGTAGGCTCTTGTAGTGTTCGATGTCCTACACAGCGGACAAGTCAGGTCTAGTCACGCGATTAAGACCACGACAGTGCATGTGGAATCCGCGGCATCACTTACCTTGAGTAGCGGTTCCAGCTGCTTCATCAAGCCAGCGACACTCCTCACGTCGGAAACGTTCTGCAGCTCCATCTTCTCGACACGCGCCTTGGTCTCTTCCTCGGTCTCTTCATCGTCGACCTTGACATGGCTCGGCGCATCGCCCCCCGCTATGTCTGTGTCGTCTTCCTCGTCGCCGTCCACAGCCATACCGCCATTCTGCTGCGCATCAGGCACGGTCGCCTGCGCGTTGTTGAGGCCAAAGTCTTGCTCGTCCACCTGCTCCTCATTTTCGTCGCCAGAGTCCCCAAAGTCATTTAGCAGCTCGTCCGCGATGGTCGCCATGTTCGTCAACGCAATGCGCAAACCGCGCCAACTCGCCGAGTGACCTGCTCCGGTAATTCTCGTGTGCGCTTTGAAGTATGCGTGATGCCACGAGAATGGCTGTGGTGTGGTAAAGGTTGTGAACGTCAAGGGCGACGGAGGTGAAAGTGCGGCATGGTACGCGAGTCATGTATCAAACTCAAAAGCATACCAAAAACTCAAGGCTCTAGCTGATCCGCTCCCACTTCCACATTGCACATGCGCATGCTGCATTCCGACATCTTTGACCAGCGCAACTTCAGCCAGTGCGTCCGCGTCTCGCGACACCGCCGCTATCATGGACGCCTCGCGTGGCCCACCGCGGGTCAAGAACAAGGCGCCTGCGCCCCAGCAGATCTCTGCTGAGCAGCTGCTGCGCGAGGCTGTCGACCGCCAGGAACCCGCGCTCACAGCACCGACGCAGCGCTTCGCGGATCTCGAGGAACTTCATGAGTATCAGGGCCGCAAGCGAAAGGAGTTCGAAGACTATGTCCGACGCAATCGGCTTAATATGGGCAATTGGTTCCGATATGCCGCCTGGGAACTGGAGCAGAAGGAATACCGACGTGCTCGCTCTGTCTTTGAGAGAGCACTGGATTGCGATGCGACCAACGTGCAGCTATGGCTGAGGTACATCGAGGCGGAGATGAAGGAGCGGAATATCAACCATGCCAGGAATTTGCTCGATCGTGCTGTGACAATTCAACCGCGTGTTGATAAGCTGTGGTACAAATATGTTTACATGGAGGAGATGCTGGGCAACGTGGCTGGTACACGTGCCGTCTTTGAGCGATGGATGAGCTGGGAACCGGACGAGGCTGCGTGGACTGCTTACATCAAGCTCGAAACACGATATGGCGAATACGATCGTGCGCGAAATGTATTTGAGCGCTTTACGATTGTGCATCCCGAACCGAGGAACTGGATCAGATGGGCCCGCTTTGAGGAGGCTAACGGCACGAGTGATCTGGTGAGAGAGGTATTTGGCATGGCTATTGAAACACTGGGCGACGAATTCATGGACGAGAAGTTGTTCATCGCATATGCAAAATTCGAGGCCAAGCTGAAAGAGTTTGAACGCGCTCGAGCCATCTACAAATACGCCCTGGATCGCATGCCACGTTCGAAGTCTGCCGTGCTGCACAAATCCTACACCACTTTTGAGAAGCAATTCGGCGATCGTGAGGGAGTTGAGGATGTCGTGCTATCAAAGCGTCGCGTCCTCTACGAGGAGCAGGTGAAGGAGAACCCAAAGAATTACGACGCATGGTTCGATTACGCCCGTCTCGAAGAAGCTGGCGGCGACTCCGACCGAGTCAGAGATGTCTACGAGCGCGCAATTGCTCAGCTGCCGCCGTCACACGAGAAGCGACACTGGCGGAGATACATATATCTCTGGCTGTTTTATGCCATTTATGAAGAGCTAACGACCAAAGATCTTGAGCGAGCCCAACAGGTCTACGACGAAGCGCTCAAGATTGTTCCCCACAAGAAGTTCACGTTCGCCAAGTTGTGGATGTTGAAGGCACAATTCCATCTGCGCAGACACGAGCTCGACAGGGCGAGAAAAACTATGGGAATGGCTATTGGACTGTGTCCCAAGAACAAACTATTCCGAGCTTACATCGAAATGGAGCTGAAGCTCTTCGAGTTCGTGCGGTGCCGTACACTGTACGAGAAATGGATTGAATTTGACGCGAGTAACTCTCAAGCCTGGATCAAATTCTCCGAGTTGGAAAGAGGACTCGAGGATCTGGAGCGCGCGCGGGCGATCTACGAGCTGGCCATCCAGCAGGAACAATTGGATATGCCAGAGCTCGTATGGAAAGCCTACATCGATTTCGAGGAGGAAGAAGGAGAATTTGAAAAGACACGGAAACTTTACGAGCGCCTCCTCCAGAAGACACAACATGTCAAAGTCTGGATCTCATACGCGCACTTCGAGATCAATGTTCCCGATGCTGCTGATCAGATTTCCACCGAAACAGAGGACGCACCAGTATCTGATGCCGCAAAGGCGAGGGCGAGAAAGGTGTTTGAGAGGGCGCACAAAATGTACAAAGATCAGCAGCTCACTGACGAGCGCGTTTCACTGCTCAATGCGTGGAAGAGCTTCGAAGACACGCACGGCTCGAGCGAGAACATCGAGAGCGTTGCCAAGGTGCTGCCTAGGAAGGTCAAGAAGCGAAGAAAGCTCGAGGATGGCTCTTTTGAGGAGTATATGGACTACGTATTCCCAGCGGATGATCAGAGTAGCGCGAAGATGAGCAAGCTCATGATGGCAGCGCAGCAGTGGAAGCAACAACAGGCCAGCGAGTCAAACTCATGACCTTCATGAATGCAGCGTTTGCGGTGTGTTGTCGCTAGTACTGGATATCGTGCTCTAGCATAGCGCTCACAAATGCTGAGAACTAGTCTGGTCCTGTAGCGTCTCAAGCAATTGATAGCGAGGACCACGATGGTGTGGTAGTCCGGGAATGTCCCCAGCACTGACAACTCACGGGCCTCCAGCCCTAGCTTGAGGGTATTGAGTGAATCCCCATATTCTGTGCTCACATTTCCGCAATATATTGTCTCGGAGAGCAGTGCCAAGCATCCAGCTTCAACTTCGGCGTTTCGGCACGACGCGCCGCGTGGTGAGACCTGCTCAATCGCTCTGCCCCCCGACTTGCAATCTTCACCTACCACTTCGAAATGTCATGCCGCAGCCCGAAGACCTGGCCCATCTGCCACCAGAGGAGCAAAAGCTCAGAAAAAGAGAATGGAACCGTGATCCCGTGAACGACCTCTTTCCAAGAATCCCGGATCTCGCGCTAGAACGCGTCCTCGACATTATCATCGACAAAGGTTTCACATACAACTTAAGTGTTTCCAAATTTGCCAACTCGCGCAGAATCACCAGTATCATCGTCGCACATGTTCGCCATGCGTATTCAGATTATGACAAGCTTTTGCGCGAGAATGTGGAGCGGTATGAGGCGAGGAAACGTTGCGGACCTCAAGTTTGGAAGGTGTTGAGGGAATGGAGTCCTTGGGATAAGGATAATGAAGTTCTGGAACGGTGTTTTAGAGCGACGCTGCTGACTCCGGAGGAGAGGGATCCGAGTTGGGATCCGATGGATGTGGATGACGAGTCGGATGTGGAGGGCGACCCGATGGATCTTGATTGAGTATGATTGGTATGCCAAGTGCAAGATTGCTTCTTGATCAGCCTGTTCGCTGCAACAGCGGCATCCCGCACTCCTGGTGTTAGCAAAGGAGGCAAGGACGTTAGAGATAGCTGTCTGAGACACGACACGTGATTACTGCCGATGTTACGAGGAGGGAGAAACTAAAGACTTCGTCACAATCCAGACCTCAGAGCGCCTTCCAAAAATGCGACGCCAGCAACCACTCCGTCGAATATCTTGATTCTGCGGCCTTCTTCCTCACCAAGGGCTTCGATACAAGCATCACGAACAGTCTGGTCCATACCGGCCATACCAGCACACCCAAGACAAATAGCTTTCGCACCTTCTTCCAGCAGCTTTTTCGCGGCGACCTTCATCTTCTGATCGACCTCATCCTTTGGGGCAGTATGGAGCTGATCGGCGTTCAATCCAGTAGTCCGGCAACCCGCATACCTGCCAGAACTTCCACCAAGCAAAGCCGTCACAGCATCACCTAGAATCTCTTCCCACTGCGAGCCTGTTGACACAATGCCGAATTTCTGGTCAAGGTCGATGGCTTGCAAGCTTGTCGCTACAGAAGCTTCGAAAATCCCAGTCACGGGTTTCTGAAGGCCGGAATCTTTCAGCGCCTGCCGTAATTGAGGGACCAGAGGGTGCTGGGAATAACAGCAGACGAGGAAAGCATCGTAGTCGTCCAGTCGTTTCTTCAACTCAGGCAGGCAGGACTCGGCTGATTTGGCAGCATCTTCTTCATTGTTGATTGAAGGCACTCCGCCAGGGGCAGTAAAGTATTCAAATCGTGTCTTGCAGTCGTGTGGTTAGCTTCTTGCGTCTTGCACGTACCTTTTTCGCGTGCTGAAGCCTACAGTGTGAAAACCCAGCGTATCAACGAGCGGGACAAGTCCATCTGTCATAGCTTTTGTGGTGTTCGGATTGATCACGAGTATTGACCTCGTGAAACGAGCGTCCATGGCTGTCATTGTGGGCACGCAAGCAATTTTCTACAACTGCTCGATGTTGGTTACTTGCAGAGAGCGCCTGCAAGCTGCGAAGAATTTCGCCCCGCAAACACCGCGACTTTTGGCAGGCAGTGTGCACACGCGCTTGACACGTCCACCTGCACTCTGCACATGTCTCTTCATCAGAGCTTGCCAGAAGCTATTTGAAGTATTCGTTCTCATTTACGGTATACCTGCCTGTAGGTGCAGGTATTTTTCCTGCTGTCGGCGAAGGGTGGTAATCACTCCTTCGAAACACGCCGGGACCTTTTCCGACCTGGGGCTAGATAAAGAAGCAGAAACCTTTCGCTCAATTCAGAGGATACTGTGCCGGCGGGCATGTCTCCAGGCAACATCTCAGTCGAACCTTTCGGCCGTGGCTAGCCTTGTGCGCGAGGTGGACTCCGTTCTGCCAGGAGAAAGTGTGCTTTCTGGCGATGAAACCCTTCACAAGCCCGGCCCTGGACACAGCAGTGACCATGCCCATTGAGGACGAGAATCGGACGAAGCGAGAGTATTAAAGGCACCTCACCACTCTTCCGCCTTTGAAAATTGTGGTAGTTGGCAAAGAACAAGCGGCCGCGTGTGCTCGTTCCTGCTCGGTCGTGCATCCAAGAGTTTCAGGGCTTTAGAATGAAGCGGTCATAATTTTCTCAAAGCCGTTAGCGACACCACTCTTCACAGCAGATCCTCCATGACCGCAGAGTGACCGCTACTCACATTCATCCAGACTGCAACTCGATGCAGATGGCTCTGCACTGGAGATTTGACTCCTGCTTGACCTCGACCGGCCAATCACTTCTGTCACCGTTCTGGCGTTCTACAGTTGACTCGACTATAGTAGAAGTTCCACAAGTCGTACGCAACAGATGTAATCATCTTGACGTTGGATTGACGAGCATATGAAGCAGCACGTAGAGTCATCCCAAACCTACACTCCTACCATCTGACCACCACGACCACTAATGCGACTAGTCACAAGCTTGTTTCTATGCTCCGGCTCCCAATGCCTTCTACACGCGAGGCACGACTGCATGATGCAGACCCCGGATCACAAGCCTATTCGTGCATCTGCCATCGTGTGCCTAGCGTGCGCGGACGATCGATCTCATCATGCACGTCGCCAGGAACTCGTACCTTGAGGCTGGCACGGCTGGGGTCCAACATCTCGGTACCACGATTGGTCTTCTGTTGATTGGAGTCCTCCTGGTTGTTGTCAGCCTGACGTCGGCTATATGCGATGCATCACATCGCTCATCTGAGGTGGAGATGATACAATCGCGGGGAAAAGTGTGAAGATGATGCGTACTCCTGAAGAGCAGTGTCATCAGATGAGTTCAATGGCAGTTACGTCGAGAGCGGTCATCGAGTATTCGAAGTCCTGGAGAAATGGATAAGTAGTCGGTCCTCGAACGCTTTCAAGGACTTTTTCATCCTCATCCACCATCGAACACTACAACACTCAACCAACCAAACAACCAACCAGCACTACTTCATCAATCAACATGTCTGACTACAAGCCAACTGGTATGCTTCCACCTTGGACCTATCCGCGACCTCAACTAATGGTCTTCTCCAGAGCACGATGGTCTCCGCAAGGACGGCCAGCCAGACCAGCGTGTCGGCACCGGCCGTAAGTATACCATAGCAACGTCCTATCACACTACAATCGATTAAAAGAATCCAGAATTCGCCCAGGGAAAAATCGACCCAGTCGAAGCTGGCAAGAAGGGTGGTAACACCTCTGGAAGCGGCTCCAGCGATGACAGCGGGAGCAGCGGAGGTGACTACAAGCCAACTGGTATGCTTCACACTAGGCCCTTCTCAACACCTTAGCTAATGGTTTGGCTCCAGAGAATGACGGTCTCCGCAAGGACGGCCAGCCTGATGGACGTGTCAAGCAATAGTGGCGCAATGCGATCCTAAGCGCAGTAAGGCAGGAGCGGATATTCCCTCGACCTAGGCAGAACTGCTTCCGACAAGGTGGATGCAGTGGAGACCTGATGCAAGGGAGGAAGCTCGTCGTAGAGGCTTATCGAAGTCTCTCCATGCTAGCGCTCAATGGCTACGAGATATGATCAATTGACCAAATTTCTTGAACTGTCTTGAAATTTCCCTATTTTTCAGCCTTCCCTTTCCATAGGCATCCCTATCGTGTTCGATCTCATCGTGTCTCTTCCGTATCATGATCAGCGTCCACAGTGATTGTTCTGCCGTTGGAGAGCAGAGCAGAAATCAAGGTCAATAATGCCGACTTTTCTTTTTCCGATTTCTACCTCTGTTGCTTTCACAGTCATCGTCTCTCTTCCTTGTCATGATAAGTGTACACAGTGACCGCTCTATTACTGGAGTAGCACAGCAGAAATCAAGTCAATACTGCGCACTCAACACGGTGCAATTGGAATGCTCTTTGGTTGGATCCTCGTATCTCTGCCTTGGGCAATGTAGCTAAGGCCTACATGTCGGAGCGAGGTTGAATCTCCTTGTGGCTTTTCCTTGAAGGTAGTTGATCTCTTTTATGTTTATAGTCATCTTGTCTCTGCCGTGTTGCCATCGACGTGCACAGTGACCGTTCCACTATTGGAGAGCAGAACAGGAATTCAGGTTAATATTGCGCGCTCTGCCCGGAGTAAATCGAGTGCTCTTTTTGGATCCTCGTTAGCTCTGCCTTTCGTAATGCAGCTGAGGCATCATGTTCAAAGAAGCGAGTTAGGTAGGCACTCAAGGTCACGATAAGAGACCACAACGTGAGGATGTTTCTCACTTTTCATTTTGCTGCCCGAAGGCAGTCGCTCTCATTTCATGCTATAGTTCGCGCCATTGTGTGTCGCGATGTGGTGTGATTTCCATGCAGTGCAATCCTGAACGCCACGCTCAACCCTATACGAAGTGCGGCAAAGCGTCTGAGAATGTTCAACCTATGAGTTTGCGCCTCCGTCTTGACCGCCGTTCTTTCCCTCAATGTACTTGCTGTACTCTTCGAGACGCTTAGCCTCCTCGGCATCCTTGTCTTTGTCCGCCTTGCGTGACTTCTGGAACTTCTCGTCACCCGTTGCGATGGAAGCCACCAGTCTGCGTCCGTCAAAGATCCTGCCGTTGTTCTTTGCCACGCAGGCACGAGCAGCATCAACGCTTGCGAAACGAATCGTGACGATGCCATCCTCCTCGAGATCGAAGATGGTGATGTTCTTGACGACACCGTAATTGACCGCATCCTCCTGCATATCCTCCATGAGTTCGGACAGCAGCTCGGGATCTTCCTCCAGCTCCTTGCGCAGAAAAACACCCTTCAAGACAGCAATCTTGTCGCTGCGGCGTGCAGGCTGCTGAACAGTGCCGAGGTCGTCGTCAGACCAGTCATTCAACCGACTGTTCATCTCTTCGGCTTTCTTCTTTGTCTGCGCCTTCGATGGCTTGGACTTCTTGGTCGAGCTCTTGCTCGGGGCAGCAGTGTCGTCATTTGTCTTCTTATAGCTGTGATCAGCCACTTGGACACTGATGGGTCCTGTCGGAAGACCGAAGTCGCGGGGAAACTCAAAGCCATCCTGCATGTCGATGGCGATGCGGACGCTCTCGGGCTTGAGGAATATGACTAGCGCCTCGCCTGTCAGGTCGCCGTGCTCGTCGCGATACAGCTTGATGCGTTGTTTATTGCCGTCGACGCTCTCCTGGATGATACCGAACTTGCAGAAACAGTCCCTAACTTCACCGTCGTCAGTATCCAGTGGCAGGCCCGACACGAAGATGGCCGTCGATGGCTTCGACGGAGCAGCGGCTGGCGCGGCGGTGGCGGCGGCATCGGCATTGTCGTTCACAGCGGCAGAGGAGGCGGCGTTGGCATTGGATCCGGCAGAGGCGCTGGCATTGGCAATGGCATTGGTGGTGGCGTCGCCGACAGCAGGACCGGCCTTGGCCTTCTTGTTTGACTCTGACTGTCGTGAGGTCAGTGAACACAGCATTCGAGTAATATGGCGCTAAAGCTTGCCTGATCCTGAGCAGCCTTTCTCTTCTTGACTGGGTCGACACCTGGAGCGTTCTCATCGACCCCCGGCACCATGTAGATCTCGGCTTGGCGCCTCATTGCATCTTCGTCAATCTAGTCGGCGACTCGAGGTTAGTGTTCTGTCGCGCGGACACGCACATGGACACGCAGTGAGGATTGGTACCGTCTCGGACCACTTGTTGACACGAGCGAGCCATTCCCATTCGACCTCATTCTCGTCCTCGAGAATGTAGGTGCCCTTTTCTTTGGACCAAGAAATGCGCGGGTCGCCGGCGAAGGCGTCCGGGTTGTCTGGGAAGGTTGCACGTGGCGCCATGGTGTTCTTGTCTGTGGATGGAGCCACCGCGTTGTGGTGGTGGAGGATGTGGTTGGTGGTGGTGATGTCGGAGTCGGAGTTGGTGGATTGGCGGAAGAGCCAAGTCAAGTCAAGGCGCGACTGGCCAGCGGAGCTTTGTGCTCACAACAACGCGACATGGCGGGGGCCGGGGCCGGCAACGGTCGCGCATCAACAACACGCGCGGCGGGCAAGTGCAGGTGCAGGTGCAGATGAAGTGAAGACAGCGGCCCAGTCTCCGCAAAATGGCATTGTAGGGTGCACGCAAGGGAAGGTCTTCTGCCGGCCACGTGCGGTCCTTTCTCAGAGACTCAGCCCTACGCGTGCTCCGTGCCACTGCAGACACGCGCCGCGCCACGCCCGCAGGATCGACTGGTGGTGTCGCTGCCTACGTCACTGCAGAGCTACTACTACCACCATCTTTTCCGTTTCGCTTCTGGCATCACGTTCAGTCTGTACGACGCCAATCCGCCCTCAAAGGACCATGACGCCCACCGATACTAGTGAAACAGCCGTGAGTGACCCACGGGATTGAGCGCCACGCACTTGTTGCACCCGAGCGAACTCTGTGCCATGAGCACGACGCTGCCCCCAAGTCATCCCAGTTTGGGTGCAGAGCAAGCCACTCGACCACCGAGAGCAAAGAAGCCAAAATGGCGTGCTCCACATGGCATACGCGACAGTCCCTGGTACGGAAAACAACAATCGCAAGTCGACTTCACCTGCCTTTTTGCCTGCTGAGACGCCAAATGCAGGATCCCGGGCAAGACGTTACCCGCTTACACTGGGCCATATCCAGTTGGTACTATGGAGATTGAGGTGCCCGCTGCCAATCCTCAGACATTCTCGCACATTACTCGTCACAAACGGCACATTCTGCAGCTTGAGACTGTCCTGATGACAATTTATTATCCTGCTGCCATTGATCAAGAGGAGAAGCTGCCCCAGACGAGCAGCAAGTTCTCCAGAGAGCTGTGGTGAGTATGTTTCACAGTAATCAAATTCCGTTGCTGATCACCTCTCAGGCTAGGCAGGCCGCGATTAGGTATTGCTCAAGGGTGAGTCTCTTCTGCGCACCATGTCCCATTGCGACGTAGCTCCTGGATTGCGCCCAGATCCTGATCAGCACTTCTAGATACTCAAAATTCGCAGGCTTAGGCAATCTCGGCATGGGACTCATGGCGACTGCAATGTTCACCAAACTACCAGCGTTCCGGAACGCGCCTCTGGCTACATTCTGGGCTCCCGCCGTGGACACCCAGAGTGAGGACATAAAGGCCACGTACAATGCTAGCTCCAAGCCGAAGGAAGAAGCTTGTGAAGAGCCGGTGTTTCCGGTCATCATTTTCAGCCGTAAGTATCCTGTGGGAACAAACTTCTCCTTCCTTGTCTCCATGACCACCGACTGCGATCGTCTCCGCCGATCCCTCGACCACGCGGCAGCCTGGAGCGTCCATCTGTTCGAGACAAGACTGACGCTTAGCTTTAGACGGATTAGGCGGCACGAGGACAATGTACTCATCTATCTGTGGAGAGCTCAGTAGCTATGGGCACATCGTGGTCGCCATTGAGCATCGCGATGGATCAGGACCCCGAACTTATGTCAACTATCCAAAGCAAGGTGAGGGCAGCATGGCCGATCTGGAGGCTAGAGGGGAAATAGATCACCTTGCCTATGAGAGAGAGCGCGGCTACACTGTGATCGACTATGTCTTTCCCAAGGACAATCCTCTTGACACCTCACCACGAAATGAGAGTGGTGTTGACACAGAGTTGCGTGACGCTCAGAAGGACCTACGCCTAGCCGAGGTGGAAGAAGCCGTCGCAGTTCTTAGAGAGATTGTCTCAGGCAACGGCAACCTGATCGCTCAACGGAATTTGAGGGTCAAAGGCCACAAGGGAGGCTCTTCTCATGGTTTGCAAACAATCGACTGGGCGAGATGGAAAGGTCGCGCGAGACTGGATCACGTCACGGTAGCAGGCCATTCGTTCGGCGGTGCCACTGTCGTCGACATTTTGAGAAGGAGAGACCGCTTCACTTATGTCTCTCAGGGCATCATCTATGACATCTGGGGAGCCGGAACTCGTCTCATTGACGCAGACGGAAGACCTGACGATCGAGTCAGCGCACCATTGCTTGCCATCAATTCGGAAGCTTTTACATACTGGCCCCAGAATTTCGAGCTGGTCGAATCAATTGTAAAGGAGGCGGAGAGTGAGCCGTGGTCGTGCCCGGCGTGGCTGATGACCATCAGAGGGACCGTACACATCTCGCAGTCCGACTTCAGCCTCCTATACCGCAACGTGTGCTCACTGTTCCTGAAGATGACTGCAGATCCGCAACGAGCGCTTGATCTCAACATCAATGCCAGTCTAGAGTTCCTCAACCAGGTCCTGCCCAAGGATATGGCGATGGTGAACAGAGCGTTCAACAATGAGAAGTTACTGGAACAGCCTCTCAACCCATTGGAGCGTATCGCTACGAATTTCCTCCACAAGCCGAAAGATGAGAAATGGCTGGCCGCTCGCCTTCGAATCCCACACGAATGGCTCTATCGACTCAGTCCGAAGCTCTTCCGGCATTTACGGCGTGCCGAGGACAAGCGGCAGGGTAAAGAGCCGGAGCCTGGAGACGAGGTCTGGCTACACCATAAACCCGCCAAGGAAAGTGTCGAGAAGTATCTGGAGCGCACTACTGGCAAGTCGAAGGCAGATGTGAAGGAGCACGAGACTGCCGAGGGTACCGAAGACACAGAGCCTGTGAAGTTGCGAGGGTAGGTGCATGGCTTATATGAGGACAGCAAAATGGAAACCAGTAAACGCGCTTACTTTGTGATCTCTCTTGCGAAGTTGATCACGCAGACGCCGCTCTTGCCGAGACGGAGCGCCTTAGCTGCACAGCACATGGTGGAGATGAGAGGATCGAAAGGGCACTCGAACAGCCTCGTCAGAGGATTACGGTGTCTCAATCCTGGTTTCTGTTTTGCTTTCCGGCAGTAGGGCGCCATTGGAGAATCCGAGCGATTGGAGAAATGCAGCTCTGGGACCTCAACAATGACTATGAAGCCTCGAATGCGGCGTCGGTACTCTCAGTGCCTCGAAAGCATTCTCAATTTCCGGCGACACGATTACATCGATTTGATTCTGGCAATGAGTGTCTGCGAGCCTCGTCCTAACTTGACGGGTGGTGACGTCTCGGATAAAACGCCTCGGCCTGTCGCGGTGATCCTGTTGTCGACGCAGCATGCCCGCAACTGTCACGTCACTCACATCGGTGTCTGTAGTGCTGAAGATGCTCGAATGCAACGAATCACTGCCAGCACGTCGAAGAGTGTTTGACAGGTGCAGCTGGCTGTGGGATGCACGGGATGACCCTCCAGTCTCCAGTGAAGACTGTTGGATGTCGGACGTTGCATCCAGGGTCTTCACATCACGCCTTCGGAGAGGCTCGCAATGAGCGAATCCATGGCGCGAGTGGTTCCTCGGAGGAGTGGGATGCACTCGCCTTCGTTCCTTCCCCGTCGGCGTGCAGAACGTCGGCAGGGGCAGCCGGCGTGTGATTGGCCAGGGCGCCTGCGATAAGACTAGGAGGTAGTTAAAGTTAGTGGCTGGGCGCTTTCGGCAGGCTGTGCGTGAAATCCGACTGCATCTGCTCGCGTCTGCAGGTGTCAAGCCTGGCACTCCCAACACTCTGGACGCGTCGGGGATCGGCGCAGGCTCCCAATGCGCGAGCGCAGCTTCAGATTGAGAGGGCACGGCGGTGCGGAGGACAGTATTGGGCAATGGCCACGATGACCCTCGAACGAGCGGCCGTGGGGCGAGCTGGCGACAGACGCCTCTCACCGGCAGCAAGTAGACGACGTTCGCCTGGCCGTTCGAGAAAACGCCACGCAGAGTGCGTCTTCATCCTTCGCGCTGCTCCACCGTCTGCTGTCGAGATAAACACCCTCTCTCGCTACGTCCTCGCGCGCCGCCTTCTGCCAACGCCTCTCCCAGCATTTGAGTGCTGCAGCGCTCCCTTCGCAGCTGCTGGCCTTCCATCCCCGTAACGGCGGCGCAACGAAGCCGCTTCCGCCTGGCGAATCCTCATCTGCTTACACGCATGTGGTGCACTGCAGCGCGGCCCTGAGTTTCGAACAAAATTAATCTGCCACGGGCATCACACCTCACTGCACTTTCAGGATATCACCGACACTGCACATGCCGCCGAGCGAGCACGAAACAACATGACTTTGATCAAGTACGACGACAATGCCGCCACAGGCGGCGACTCGCTGACGCAGGATCGTTCGTCTCCACGCACCGCACTTCAATCCAGGCGGCAGGTGCTAACCACCTCGCAGTCAATGTGGCCTACGAGAGTGGAGACATGGCGTGGGTCATCGTCGCCACGGCGTTGGTCTTGCTCATGATACCTGGTGTTGGGTGAGTCGCTTCACTACACCTGCGCCACTTCAGCCAGTGCTGACAATCACACAGCTTCTTCTACTCGGGTCTTGCTCGCCGCAAGTCTGCCCTCTCGCTGATATGGCTGAGCGTCATGGCCGTGTCGGTGGTCAGCTTTCAATGGTTCCTCTGGGGCTACTCACTCGCATTCAGCCATACAGCGTCATCATACATTGGCGACCTCTCCAATGTGGGCCTACGCAACGTGCTCGCTCGCCCGTCAGTGGGTTCGTCTCGAATTCCTGACCTTCTATATTGCGTATATCAAGGCATGTTCGCATGCATCACCGTCGCCTTGGCATCTGGAGCCGTCAGCGAGCGGGGCAGGATGTTGCCATGCGTTGTGTTCATGTTCATATGGACGACTGTCGTCTACGATCCACTAGCGTGCTGGACGTGGAATCCGGCAGGGTGGTCATATCGACTCGGAGGTCTGGACTTTGCGGGTGGCACACCAGTCCATATTGCCAGCGGATCAGCTGCGCTCGCGTACTCGTAAGTCTTTCTCCGCTCGCTCGCCATCACAAGCATCAGATCTGCTTTCCCACATTCAGCCCCTCGGTACGACAGCGGCGGGCGGAAGCAAGTCAGCACTCTCTGACTGTACCACAGTTACATCCTGGGCAAACGAGCCGGTCATGGCACTCATGCCCTCAATTATCGTCCACACAACATCACCTTCATCGTGATCGGCACCGTCTTCCTTTGGGTGGGCTGGTTTGGGTTCAATGCTGGCAGCGCGCTCAGTGCGAATCTCCGAGCTATCATGGCTGCACTAGTGACCAACCTCTCCGCGTGCGTCGGAGGAGTGACCTGGTGTCTTGTCGACTATCGTCTCGAGAGAAAATGGAGCGTAGTTGGGTTCTGCTCTGGTGTCGTCAGCGGCCTCGTTTGTATTACTCCTGGTAGTGGGTATGTTCCTCCCTGGGCCGCTGTCATCTATGGCCTCTGTGCTGGAATTGGATGCAATTTCGCAACCCAGCTGAAGTACTACCTGGGTGCAGACGATGCTTTGGACATTTTCGCTGTACACGGTGTGGGCGGCATCCTGGGCAACCTGCTGACTGGTATCTTCGCGGCCGACTACATCGCTCATCTGGATGGCTCCACCAGAATTTCTGGAGGCTGGCTGAACCGCCACTGGATTCAATTAGCTATTCAATTAGCGGATACAGTGACTGGCATGGCGTACTCATTCACCATGACAGTCCTGATATTGATATTGATATCCTTTATATCGCGCTGGGTTCCGGCTCTTAAACTACGAGCGAGTCCAGCAGAGGAAGATACTGGCATGGACGACGCAGAACTGGGCGAATTCGCATACGACTACGTCGAGGTCATTCGAGAAATCAAGCCTGGGATGCAAGACCATTCGGACCTCCACAACATCGAAGGAGATGGCAGGAGTATGAGGACACTAAGTCATGTATCCGAGTCTGAATACCCACTTCATTCGCAACAGCAGCAGGAGACCAAAGACGGATATCCTTTGCGTGACTTCAGTCGGGAATCCAGACCCGTTGAAGTGGGTAATGCCAGCTGACTACATGATCGGCCGAAAGTGTACAGTATTAGTGGAGGCAAACTCGTACTGCAGGAACAAGATCGCAAGGCAATGAATGTCACGAAGGTCCAGGCGTAATGCAGACTGTCAAGGATGGCAGATGGAAAGGTGATGGGATTTAAAAATGGCGATGGGTAAGGATCACGCCTGGCAGGTGGTATTTGTGGCCTGCAGAGAGGCCTTCAGAACCTCCGTTCGTATGTTCGTGCGCTGAAGCACAATTCAATTATCGTTACTCGACCTCACTTTGATTTCGTAGTCAGAAAACTGCGGGGCATGTACGAGCGCAGCGACCAGAAACGTCTCTTTCTCTGAAGAAACAGCATATCATCTGTTCACCAATCTTGTTTCGCCTACACGCATCGTCCGCCATCCACAGGAATATCAATGCCAGTCAAGAAGTCCGCCTCGTCGCTAGCGAGGAATGCACATGTGTTCGCAACGTCCCTCGGTGTCGAGCCTCGCCCCAATGGAATCGTTGCCATGAATGTGGCTTGGTTCTCAGGTTTGCCCAAGAACGAATCAGTCCTTATATAATTGTCAGCGGTAAATTGCGCGCTTGCGGAAATGTTAACAACTTACAGTCCTGTGCCGAGACCAACCACCGGGCAAGCCGTGTTAAAACGAATGTTGTCCTTCGCATATTCGACAGCCATACTCTTGGAAGCATTGATCACGGCAGCCTTGGTCGCATTGTACCATGTGAGACCTCCTCGAGGTCTGATACCTGCGGTGGAAGCTATCGTCACAAAGGAGCCTCCAGTGCCCTGCTTCTGAATATATGGAACGAGCACGTTCGTTGAAAGGTAAATTGCTCGAACGTTGACTCCGAATACCTTGTCGTATTCTTCCTCAGTCACCTCTCCAGTTGGCTACGATTCCACGTCAGCTGTGTCTTGCAGGCCATTCTTTTATTTCGCCCAACTGACCTTGTTCCGATAAGTCCAACCAGCATTATTAATTACAGCATCGATCTTGCCAAACTTCTTGTCACAAAAGTCCCTTATGGCCTCCCAGTCTGCTTTCTTGGTGACATCCGTTCGGAAGAACTCACACTTGAGTTCATCTGCTGACTTTTGCCCAACATCTTCAACGAAGTCTGCAATGACGACTTTGGCCCCTTCTTCCACGAACTTTTGTGCAATGCCCTTTCCGAAACCTCCTCCACCTCCGGTCACAATCGCGACTTTTCCTTCGAGACGGTCTGGCATGTTGTTTTGCTGTTTTCTGCTTTTCGATTAAGATAAGTTGTTGGGTTCCTGTCTGTACGACTTTAGATTCTGAATCGTATTCAATAGAGGTGAGGTGAGCTGCGGCAATCTTTATAGATTTGGTTCATTGCCGGGCAACTCCTCTCTTGTTGACGACCCCGCAATGCGTTCATCGTTCATGCGCGGGGACCTTGCACCTTGTGGGCTTGCGAAGCCGGCGCGTGCTGCTGCTACCGGTGATAGTGGGACCAGCAGCTTATTCCCAGCTTCCTGACAATATGCCTGTTGCGGCTACAGCATAAGCAATTGTCACGAATTATTGATTGTAGTCACAGGGATAGTCTCAAGAAATGTGCCAAATCACTTGAACTTGACTACCGATCACTACGCCTCACCAGATCGTGTAGAACGACTAAAATAGACAGTGCCTCACGCAGTGCTGCTCACACTGAAAGAGTCTTCGGCGTGGAATATGTGCCCTGCGTTTTATACTACACGGATGGTATTCGTCGGAGCCGATCGGATCCGTAAATGTCGCTGCATACTCCGGGTTCAGTAAGGTTGGTCTGGAAAGACGCGAGATGCTGCAACACAGAACATTCATTGTGGTTTTTAATTGTTGATTCGAACTTGGCAACCAAGCACCACCGATCACTTGTTCAGACCGTCCAGTAGTCCTCGAAGGAAAAATGCCGCTGCTTTGGCACCCGGATCCGGTGGCGTATCTTGCTGAGCTTCCGCTTGGTCGCCGACATACGTAGCTACTTGAGGTCAGTCTCAGGTACTCTAGTAGTCTCGCAGGCAATCTGCGTCTGCAATAGGGGCACTCACCTCTTCCGAATTTGGCTTTCATGCCCGATGTGCTCTCTGCGCCAGCTTCCGCTTCTTCTACAGCCTTTTGGAAATTGGCTTCCTTCTCCAAAGATTGGCAGAAGGGTATCAAGGTATCCATCACCGTTCTCCCACCTTGTCGAGCACTTGTATACGACTGCAAATTCTCTAATGCGGCGCCTGCAGCTCGTCCTGCAGTCTGTGCATCCAATGTGAAGCCACTCTCTTCCTTGGCATAAGCCTGTCGCAAGCTAGTAGTGAAAGACGCAAGAATGATACTGATGATCGCACCCAGTGTGCCTCCAATCTCTTCGACGGCTTCGCCCACCTGGTCCAGTATATGGAAGAAAGAGCCTTGCTTTGCCAGACCTTCGTCGAGCTTGCGTAGAACTCCTTGACACATTCCCACAACTGCTTCACCGCAATCACCGTCTCCCATTTGAATGTCCCATTTTGTGATGTCTGGCTCTGCTTTGATTGCCACGTTGCATGCATTTCGAAGGGAGTTTTCAAGGAGAGTGGAATCGATCTTTGGACCTTTTTGCTGGTGGTCTTCTGCAGCAGCAGCTTCTGCAATCTTGGCTGTCTCCTTTGTTTCCTTGATATATCTATACCCATTTCTCGGCCAGGCTGGAGCGTGTGTGTCGGAGTCGAGGAGATGTAGCAGTGTGTGTACGGAGGTGTTGGCATCTCGCTCGATGCCAGATACGTTAAGCAGACTGATCGACCAGCCAGGGGCATTGAGCGATGTCTCAAATGGCTGCGCGTAGATTCGTTGGGGTACGATTTTCCAGTCTCGTTCCAGGACTTTGCGTGTTACACTGGTCAAGGCTTCGAGCTCGAAATTCGAAATTCCTGTCACGGATTAGCACACCGGTCAGAAAACAGTTGCCAAAAGACATCTCTTTCTCCGTAAAACCAGCGGAATCTCTGCCTTGGGCGGAATCATGGTGCGAAGAGATATCTGAGAAAGCCCGCCATCCAAGGCCTTATGGAACCTACCTCCGAAATTGTTGATCAACAGTAGTACAACATCGTCTGGCTTGAACTCAACAAAAGCTCGATCCTCATCGCTCGGATCCAGACAGTATTTCAGCATATCTTTGACCAGATCTTCCACTTTTGGCATTGGCGATATCTCGTGAAGACCCGGCTCGTTGTGAATGCCCATACCCAGTACAACCACGTCGTCCGGAATCGAACGATGATGCTCTCGTCCTGGAATATGGCAGTGATCGAGTGAAGATCCAACAGTGACAGCGTTGGCGTTGACGGCGTAGCCAATCTTCATACCTGCGGCCGGTCCATCAGCACATCTCGCTTTTTAACCAGCATGGATGGAACACTCACATTGATCAAAGCTATAGCCAAATTCAGCAGCACTTCCGCAGAGTTTCAGTACGAACATGTTCGCTGCTAGACCTCTTCGGCCCAAGTTCTGTGTCTGCTTCCTCCCCAGAGCGACGTCGTCTGTCATGCGTAGGACGCCAATCTTGTAGCCCATGCCCGCTGCCTTTTCTCTAGCCAGACCGAAGTGTAGATTGTCGCCCGTATAGTTGGTTATACATAGTATTATCCCAGCGTCCGAGGGTACATGCTTGATAGCTGCCATAACTTGCTTCGTAGACGGGCTCGCAAACACCTCGCCATTGACAGCTGCTGCTAACATGCCATCTCCTACATATCCCGACCAGCTCGGCTCATGCCCACTTCCTCCGCCCGAAACAATGCTGACCTTGCTGGGTGAATGTGTTTTGGAGTATACGACTTTGTTCGGGGCATCGAGAGCTAGGTGGTTATTTCTGGCCACGAGAGAGTCCAAACCCTGGACAACGACGCCTTCGGTTTGCGGAAAGAAGTGTTTCGTACTCATGATTAGTACCAGGCTGTTTATGTTGGAAGTATGCTGCTACAATGTTCTGTGTTCACGCTTGAGCAAGTCCTAATTTTGGTCATACCTACCACCAAGCTCGAGGCACAAACACTTGTGCAGGCCCCGCCTTTAGCCATAGCCTACTTCCCGGGTAATGAGCTGAACGGAGCTGCGTCAGAGGCCGATGCTTGCTTGTGTCGAGCTGGGAGTCCGACGGAGAGGCGTCGCTGAGAGGGGAAAGCAGCTGTACAAAAAGGTGGGACGGACATGCCAGAAAGGGCAATCCGGGTCTTCTCCTCCTTTCTTTCCAAGTCGTGTGCTTCTACTTGCCTCTTCGGCGAGTTCACACCCATCTCGAGTTCAGTGTCCATTTCTGTCTATCTTGACTTTTCTTCCATCTTGGCCTGTGGTATCCATAACTTGTTGCAAGCATCATAATGCTCCGTCTCTACAGCTCGCAACCGTAACGAAGGAGACCTGACTGCAGCCGCAAGGCCGATGGAGATCCCGAGTGCCGGCTGGCTGCTTCGTCTCGAGGTTTTGGACGCCGTGTGAGCTCACGACTGGAGACGTGGTGACCGATACGGGTCCACGTTTCGCTGGAAGAGCTCGCGATGCGCCGCATGAAACATCAACGATGTGTACGAGCTGACTGCTCCCGTGCGGTGCTGCGATCTTAGATCTCGCATTAAGTTCCTAAATCTACGCTATCCTCGCATCTAACTCGAGTAGAGTCTATCACTAGCAATCGCGAAGCTGACATTGACACAACCGAACGATTGGATCTTATACCTTGCCCTGCAAGTCTGCAACAGAAAGTATCACTGAACGGACTTGCTTCCTCCACGATGGGGTCGGCCAAACAGCTGTCGAGCAACAAGACGGTGCAGATTCTAGCAAAGGCTGAGAAAGAAGGCTATGGAGTGCTCGCAGCCATAGCGTAAGGCAATGATCGAGCACGGCGACTATAGCGCTGACTTGTCTTGTAGATACAATATCGAACAAGTCCTCGGCCTTATCAAGGCTGCCGAGAATGCTCGATCGCCATTGATATTGCAATTCTTTCCTTGGGCAATCACCTTCAGCAATGGACTTTTAATCAAGACCGCGGCCATCGCAGCGAATGATGCGACTGTTCCCGTTTCAATACACCTAGACCATTGTCAAGACCAGGACAGGGTTCGATATGCTGCTGACGAGCTTCCATTTGATTCGATCATGGTCGATATGTCGCACTACGAGAAAGAAGAAAACCTGGCGAAGACCAAGGAGCTGGTATCCTATTGCCATGAACGAGGCATCTCCACGGAAGCAGAGCCAGGTCGTATTGAAGGGGGCGAAGATGGCATCGCGGACACAGCCGATTTAAGTGGCGTACTCACAACTCCGGACGAAGTTGCTGAATTCATTGCCACTGGTGTCGATTTCCTGGCTCCAGCAGTCGGAAATGTTCACGGAGAGTATGGGAAGCGTGGACCTGTGCTTGAGTATGACCGATTACAGTCCATCTCAGAGCACTGCAAACGAGAGGATATCCGAGTGGTATTGCACGGCACTAACGATTTCCCGGAGGATATCATGAACGCTTGCATCAAGAGAGGTGTTTCTAAGATCAATGTCAACAAACTGGTGTTGGAAGACTACACGGAATACGTGCAGAAAGAGGCAGCGACCACGCCGATCACGAAATTGATGGAAGAGAGCGTGCAGAAGGTGGTTCAGTTGACTGAGGTGTGGATGCATAGGATAGGAAGTGCAGGCAAGGCGTAGTTCTGCCAGTAGATAGTGCCGGTACCATAGAACACCTGACATGTGCCCTTGCTCCCTGCTTCTTGAGTCCCAATATCTGCGAGGTGCCGTAGCATCTGACGTGCATCTCAATGTGAACTTGTGGTCTGATGATTGTGGGCTGTCGCTTATTGTTATTCTCGTGCTCAAGGTTCGAAGGTGGAGTATCGGCTCGTAGCCGAAAGTCAATGCAATCAAGCTCCATTCATCTCCGCATTTCTTGGCGTCTGGTCTTCTTCTTCCACCAACCTCGCCACGAGTCTCATGTGCGACAACCGCGTCGCGGCCATGACTTGATTCTGTGCCCGTAGCGCCATTTCACCACCATGCAGTCGCAACACGCGACAGCCACGCCGACGGGCAATGGACCGGCTCGGAAACCGCGCAAAAGCCGTGGCCGCGGCCTCAGGACCACCACGGGCTGGTGAGTTGCACTGTTTCCTACAGTATGCACGGTGCTGGGGTATATCGATCCGTTCACTGCCCGTTGCCTGGGCTGTTTCGAGAACGCAACAGTGGAAGCGTCTGTTGCACTTGCCTAAACTTGCCTCTACACCGCAGCATGTTCAGCGGCTGACTCGATGGCTATAGTACGATATGTAGGAAAAGGCACATGAAATGCGATGAAATCAAGCCACAATGTGGTCCTTGTGCCAAAGGGAATCGACCGTGCGTGTACGGAGCGCCCGTTTCAGAGATCGATTCCAATTCTCGTTCCTCGCAGCCATATTACCACAACTCTGGGAATCCGAATTCGCCTGTGAACGAGCGTACTCCACGGACGAGCATCGCCTCGGAACAGTCAGATACAGACACCAACAAGCAGTGGTCAGCACAGCTTGGTGATGAGACCATGCACATGACCAGCCCTCAGAGCACTTACAGCAACTCTACTGGTAGGTACCGCGCCGTTATCACATGCCCATGTGCATTTGCCCCATCGACACTCGGACCACTGGTCGTAGATTATGCTGGTTCATTTTTTCTGACTTTTGCCAGGCTACGGGACTGAAGTTGCCCCACTCCGATGGTTCGGCCTCCTCGCTGGCGACGCAGTCACCGGCGCACCGGATGTGCTGTCCCTTGAAGTGCTCGGCGATGCTGCCCTTGTACGCCGCCACGAGATGTTCCCTGATGGTGCCACAGGCTCAGATCTTGAGCTTCAGCGTTCCCTCAGCAGGCCCTATTTTGGTCTGGAGGCCTTCGCTTCACAGAATGCATCGAAATTGCTGCAGATATCCGCCTTCTCCAATGGCACCAACGGCGCTGAGGGCGAGCGTCAGCAATGGCAGGCAGCTCAGCCAATACAGCTGAAAGACCACGAATTCGACATTTTTCAAAGCTTCGTCACGGAGACCAGTACCTGGATCGATCTGCTTGACCCATCCAAGCACTTTTCAACGCTCGTGCCACATTTGGCGTTGCACAATGAGGGCTTAATGAAGGCCTTACTGGCACTTGGTAAGCGAAGCCTCATTCATTCCGCCTTAGTCCTGCATACTTTGGAGGCATTTGTACAGGGCTGGGATGAGGAGTGGTTTTGCATTCGAAGTTGTTGCTTTGGTCACTAATAGCTGGACAGGAGCAAGACACCTATCCATAAAGCCGATGCGTACGGGTGAAGCAAGCGTAGACCGCACAGCTGCTGTGCAGTATTATTATGAGACGCTACAATATTTGCAAACCGCTATGAGGTTCACAACGTACAAGAACAGCCGCGAACTACTTGCAACTGTACTCATAGTGAGCATGTACGAGATGCTGGACGGCGCAGGCAAAGGCTGGGAACGGCATTTGAAGGGCGTCTTCTGGATTCAACGAAGCCGTGAGATCAATGGCGAGAGTGGCAGCTTCGAACAGGCCATCTGGTGGGCCTGGCTCAGGCAGGATGTGTGGGCCGCTTTTCGCGAGAACCGAAGATGCTTCAGTTTCTTCAAGCCGACAAAGGTGAGTGATGTTTTGTCATCGAAACTGGGAGGCTTACTGACATTGCTCTAGTCGTACCAAAATATGGACATTTGGGACATGGCCTCGCGTGTTGTTTATATCCTTGCGCAAGCCGTCAACTACAGCTCTCAAGAGGAAAAACAGCTTGGCGAGGCCGATCTCTCCAACCGCATATCCCGAGCGAATACGCTGCTGAACATGCTTGACGAATGGAGGAACAGTGTCAGCATCAATTTCAACCCACTCCCAGTTGGTAAGTTACGCGATTGTGCAGCAGCCTGCATGACACTGACAGGAGTGAAGAAGGACCTTCGAACCGAGCGTTCCGCCCCATATGGATTTACCCATCTGCTTTCGGAGTCTCGTTGCAGATGTTCTGCATGGCCCGCATACTACTGCTCATCCATCAGCCTGCCGCCGGAGGATATTTAGAGTACCTGCAACGCGACAAGATCATAACCGAGTGCATCGATACGATTGGAGGGATTGCCATGAAGCTTACAGAAGACGCGAGTCGCTTCATGTCCGCTCAATGTCTATACGCTGCTGGTCTGTACTGTACGGACGAGGCCAAACAGCAATACATTGCCGAGCTCATACTGGATCATCATAGTCACACTGGATGGCCCGTGAACACGGATCTGGCCGAAGAACTTCGCGCAGAGTGGGCGAAACAGACGCAGAACAAACTCCCTGGATAGATGGAACTAAACTTCGGATCTTCAGAGTATTCTGATGTGATGGTCATCAATGCACAAGCTCGTGTAATACTGTCCGGGTTTCTCTCAGACGGTTTCTGGGGCGCAACTGTCCTTATTTGCCAAGCTGAGCAGCAGGGCCTTGCCGCTCTCGTCAGAGATAAAAGTACTTTTCAACAATCTGGACAAGTAATCGGCAGCACACACCCTTGTCTCGATCGGATTCTAGGGCACGACTGTGACTCGATTCAAGCCAGAGAGCAGAGAAGCCTTCGCCTCTCCGGAGAAGGGCGTGCTTCACGGCGCCAGATCTGAGACAAATCCCGGCAATGGCTTGAAGGAAGCATGCTCAACAGACTATCGGACGAATTAGCACGCTTCGCTTGGATCCCAAGCTAGCGAAGAGGATGCACTTACTACCAATGACACCATTGACTGGAATATCTATTGATGTCGTATAAGAGGCCGCGTCGCTCAACAAGTAGACGTAAGCTCCTCCGAGCTCTTCAATCTCGGCGAGCCGGGGAATGCCGCCGTAGTACTTCAATTGCTGCTCCCAGTCGGGTTGCTGTTCGACCCACTATATGGCAAGTCAGCAAATCATTACAACAACTTTCTCCACCACGATTAGAACCCACATATGTCATGGCGGTCTTTACGAGACCGGGGCTGACCGAGTTCACACGAATACCGTACTGTGCCCACTCCATCGCCTAAGGCTTGTCAGTCTCATTGGGAACCGCAGGTTTTGGAAGATACTGACGAGAGTATGTGTCATATTCTTCACTCCAGCCTTGGATGCACCATATGGAGCAGAGGGTACGCGCTTATTTGGACGATAACTGGCCATGGAAGCAGTAAAAACTATCGACCCCTTCACGCCTTGCTTGATAAATGCTCGAGCTGCGACGCGAGCGCAATAAAATGAGCCATAAAGCTGGATCCAAGTCAGTTTGCTTGCATACTGGGTGGGGCTAGCTTCACTTGCATTGATACTCCAAAGCTGATCGATCTCTTCCGTTGTGAAATCAAGAGCGGGCTTGTGCTTCGTTCGCCCGGCATTTACAACCATTCCATGAAGGGCTCCAGCTTCGGCCAGAATCTTATCTACGGCTTCGGTAACATTGGCCTCTTTCGTGACATCTGCCGTGATGGCATGGAGCTTTCCTGGATAGCGTTCTGAGACCAGCTTGAAATCCTCTCCCGTCTCTCCAATGTCGATGGAATATACGGCAAGCGCTCCATTAGCCATGCAGCAATCCGCAATGCCTAATCCGATCCCGCGGTTTGCACCTGCTCGCTGTCAGCATGTCACGATCAATAACAAGACTGCGTCTTACCAGTGATCGCAATAACCTTGCCTTCAAGGCTGACTTTCTTCTGAGGTACTTCTGACATGTCAAAGACTTGAGGATTATGGCGTTGGCTTCAAATTACGAAGAGCACGAGATGGTATGATTGGTGACTGGTTGGTTGAAAGAATTCACAACGAATGGCTAATATTTTCGGCATTACGGTCGGGCTATGCTTCTGATAATAGCTTAACCGCTTCGGATAGACTCTGACCGGCTCAGCGAAGCTGATGACCTCTCGTGGTGAACGACTTCGCGTTACGAGGCAGAGAGTCTCATCTCGAGACTGTACTAGTTCCGCAACTCCACAGACAACTCCGCATTGGACCCACACATGGTCGCGAGACCAGGACTTAAATCCACTGTGCGAGACGAGGCTATAGATCGCCGAATGTCGATCGGCGAACACGAACACGAACACCTAGGCTAAGTTACGAAGCCGAAAAGTAGTGTCACGCCTCTTCGTCACATTGAGGAGCAGAGGAATGCTTGGTCTTTCGGAGAACGAGATGTTTCCTGCGATTACCTTAAGGATCGTCGCTGCTTGATCTTGTGTAGCCCGCATCGTGAGCTGGAGGGGAACATTGATAGCGATCACCTTGAGAAAAGATAGTATTGTCTCGATCAGATCGTACTGGAACGATTTTGCACTGGAAAATCGTCTTGAGGTTGAGGTCGTATGAGCTTACGCCATAGGACTAACTGCTTTCCAAGTGTTCGTTCCATGAAAACTTCGATAGATACGAATGAATTATATATGAAGCTCTGAATCGATCGCTGTCATGCCAATGTATGCCAAATGCTGGACTGTACTGCCTTAAATTCTCTACCAAGCACCCACGATGCCAGCAATAGGTATATCAATTCCAGTAGTGTAGCTCGCCTGGTCAGACAGCAAGTATACGTATGCTCCGCCAAGCTCTTGGGGAAGCGCTAGACGAGGCATGCCACCGTAGTACTGCATCTTCAGGTCCCAGTCGGGCGACTTGTCGACGAAGTAGGTCATTGCCGTCTTGACGAAGCCCGGAGAGATGCTGTTGACTCTGATCCCGTGCTTCGCCCACTCCATTGCTAGGGTATGTGTCATGTTGCGTACAGCCGCCTTGGTACCACCGTATGGCGCTGATGGTGCCGCCCGATTTGGCCTGTAGGAGGTCATGGAAGCTGTAAAGACGATAGAGCCTTTGATCCCTAATGAAATAAACTTCCTCGCCGCGGCGGTGGCGCAGTTCCAGGCACCGAACACGTTCAACTCGAATAATTGTTTCACTTGTGCTAGGGTGAAGTCCAATGCTGGTTGATGCTTCGTCATGCCTGAGCAAAGTCAATGCTAGATCTGGGCGCACGTGGGTTTGGTATGGGATCCTTACCTGCGTTGGCAATCATTCCGTGAATTGCACCCTCGGCGTCGACGATGTCATCAACTGCTTTCTTGACACTTTCCTCGTCGGTGACGTCCATTTGCTTGTACTTTAATCGTCCTGGGTTCTTCTTCGATAGGGCTTCGAAATCTTCTGAAGGTTCCATGAGATCCAGGGAGTAGACTACGGCCGCTTGATTGGCGAGACATACTTCTGCTATGCCGAGACCAATACCTTTTGATTGGCATGTCAGTGGATTTCATGCTTGCTTTTTGGGAAAGCAACTAACCTCTATTCGCCCCAGTGACAGCGATGACTTTGTCCTTCAGCGAGATCTGCCAGTTTGCATCTGGACCTGGCATTGTGGTGAGGTTCGGCATTGTTTCCTCTGCCATGGTTGTGTCGTGCCCGTTGGAGGAGCCTCCGTTCTCGTAGGATACTGCTTGAACCATTGTGAAACGAATTTCGTTGATCAATGCCTGCAGAGTATAGAATTTGCAGAAGAAGGACTCTTTGTGAAGTCTGAACTACGAACTTCACAGCAAGTGAGTATGGCTTACCTTTAGAATCGCCTTGGGCTATGAATATAAGACGTCTGACAGCTCTGCACCGCTGGAGTCCACCCACGTATGCGGCTCTCCGCAACGTGGCAACGGAACGTGGGTCAGCATCGTGACGGTGACCAATATTGCTTCTGAGCTTCGTCTCGCCATTGTGCCATTTGCCGAGTGTCCACACGAGCTCTGACGAAGCACTTGCAGTTGCTGCGCTGTGAAAAGTGGATAGCGGCAAAGCGTAGTGTCGAGGATGTGAGCCTCGTCTCGGTGAACTTGTCCTCGCCACGGATACGTGCTTGGCTGATCTTCGGTGTTTCACTCAATCAGGTTCGCATGTAACCCTGCTCTCCATGGGGAACTGATGCGGAGACCAACGTATGGGGTAGTCTTGTTGTGCATGCGTTCACTAATGTGTAAGCGAGCCACACGAGCAGTACGTTGTATATGAGATCGCGAGAGGATGGGTCTTGTCACACCCTATACGCTCCGTGCCAGCCGAACGTCCTGTGCCTTTTAAGTGCCAACAACTCAACCTTTCAGAAGAGCACAGAAGATGGAGAAGATGTCCAGTACCGACGACAAGATGAAAGACATCGAGCTGATCGAGGATCATAGTGGCAACATTGATGAAGACCCAGAAAGCGCAGCAGAAGAGAAGGCCTTGGTCCGGAAGATCGATCTCTTTTTGCTGCCAACGATATGGATCATGTATCTGCTCTCATACATGGATCGAACAAACATAGGCAATGCGAAGATTGCTGGAATGACAGACGACCTGGGCATGGACTCCAACCAGTACTCCATTGCTCTTGTTGTGGCAAGTCAACGACGGTTCTCTGTCGTCAGAGAGCATTGCTAACGGTCCTAGTTCTTCGTCACCTATGTTATCTTCGAAGTTCCGAGCAATCTAATCTTGTCCAAGACCAAGCCCTCGATATTTCTTCCGGCGATCATGTTGCTCTGGGGGGTGGCAACGTGTTGCATGGCTCTAATCGATACCTATGAGCATCTGGTGGCACTCCGAGTGCTTATAGGAGTCCTGGAAGCTGGATTCTCGCCAGGCATTCTTCTTCTGCTGTCCAGCTGGTATAAGAAGAACGAACAAAGCCGCAGATTCTCAGTTTTCATCTCTGCAGCAGTATTATCTGGAGCTTTCGGTGGCATTATAGCTGGGTGAGTAAGCACCTCCCCCCCGTCCGCGGATGTCTTGGTTATCCTTCCTCCGTCTTTACCCACCACAGAATTCACACGAGCTCCGACTAGAGTGCCTCAGAAGAATGCAGTTGCGGCAGAATATCAGTCTCCAAGAAGCATGTCTCACGCATGTGCTTAACTAATACTGATTGCTCTTGATAGTGGGATCACAGGAGGTCTTGAAGGAAGATACGGCATCCGTGGATGAAGATGGCTGTTCATCGTCGAAGGTGCTGCTACGGTTGGATGGGGTGAGGCTTGGTCCATTTTCATTTGCGTGTGCAACACTGACTGATATCAGCAATTGTTTCGTACTTCATCCTGCTCGATTTCCCTGCCAACACAAAGAAGCTCAGCGTCCGGGAACGAGAATTGGCCATTTCGCGCCTGGAACGTGATGACGTTACCGGCCGCAATGAGGACACCCCACGGATCACCTCGTTGCAAGCGCTGAAGCAAGCAGTGACCTCCTGGAGGGTTTGGCTACTCACCGCCGGATACATGGTGATAGTTGGCTCGTCAACATTGTCCTACTTCTACCCAACCTTGGTCCAGGGGCTCGGATATACGTCCCACAGTGAGTCCAGCTTGAGGAATGCGCGTCGTCTGTCGAATGCAAGCTAACAGCGTGTCCAGTGGCTCAGTACATGGTGGTGCCGATATATGCCGGGGCTTTTGTCTGTGTAGGAATAACGGGTTACTTCTCCGATAAGTTTCCTGCACAACGTGTAAGTACCGCCACGCGCCACAATGCACAGGAGTCAGCGGCAGACTAAATTCTTCGCAGGGATTGATAATATCAGGGTGGTTAGTGGTTTCTATGATCTGTTCGATCGTGGTCTGCGTGGTCTATGACTTCACAGCGAGGTACGTCCTGCTAGTCATCATGGCAGCAGGACTATGGTCGACGAACGCCATCTCGCTGAGCTACGCGTCTAGCACGTTCGGTCCATTTCCGCAGGAGGTGCGAGCAGTGGCGCTGGCAATGGTCAACGCGTTGGGCAATCTCGCGCAAATTTACGGGGCATACCTTTTTCCGTCGAAGGATGCTCCAAAATATCTGCTCGGATTTGGAGTCATTTCGGGCATGTGTGCATTCGGCGTATTGACATATGCCCTGGCGCATGTATTGCTGAGGAAGTACGCCAAGTAAGCACAGCGCATATACTCCATTAGCACAAAGCGGCGACATTAGTCTGTACACATATCAACCTTGCAGTTCCTCGACATGCATCCAAAGGGATTCAGGGCGTGAATTTTTGAGGTATGTGTGCTTGAAGCACATGTACCCATCGCTTCTCCGATGTCTTTGCATTGCCAGCCATTGGGGATAGAGCTGAATTGAAATTCGTTCTGCTTGGTTGTCAGAGAAAGAACAGGCACAAGAGTGCCCCCGAGACGAGATGTCAACGTGTCGGCCCGACGGAGTACGGCCCGCATCGGAGCTGGGGCGGGAAATGCAATGCATGCACGGCACGCCTGCCGACATCATCGCCCTCCTTGTCGCGTTTCTACAGCACGACGTGAAGAACCAAATCAGCTCGGCTTCTGGAAGACGAGCACATCGACATGTCTAACTTCAAAGAGCCATCACTTGCCGAAATTGCTCAGCAGATCCTCGAGGATGCGCTGCAACAGATCATGCACAACGTGGTGATCCACCAGCATCGAGCACACAAGCAGCTATTAGCTTCACTCGACTCGAAAACCCGACTACCGCACTGCGACACTTGCAAGCTCCCCAAGCTACTCGATCCGCCACTTGCGCCGAGCGTTCGAGGCGCGACTGCCGATCCACCCAGCAACACCAACTACTGCGATCGCAAGCCATGGGCTCGCCGGCCAGGGCATGATATCTACGGCAACCCCTTCCTCAAGAGCGACATCACAGGCCGTCCACTTACTAAGAAAGAGCGTGAAGCGCAAAAGAACAGCAAGAAAGACGACGGCACGCCAGCAAGCGAAGACCAGAATCACGAAGGTACGGGCCCGCCATCGCCAAGCGGAGACGCTGAGGAGGATAAGAAACCAGGCAACCAGAAACTAGAGAAGGGCGAGAAGAAGGCGAGTAAGATCGACGAGAAACTGAAGAAGGGTGAATATGTCCCATGGCACACCTGCCCAAGCTGCAAGCGAAGCTTGCTCATCACACGTTTTGCGAAGCACTTGGAGCAATGCATGGGAATTTCAGGCCGTGCTGCCAGTAGAAATGCCATGGCGAAGATGAACAATACGCCTAATGGGTCTCGTGGTGGCACGCCCAACCCAAGCCAGGACGGAAATGGCAAGGACGGACCTGCTGAAGACGAGGAAGGAGATTCTGCTGTTAAAGGGGCAGGTGGCGGGGTGCGTAAGAAGTTACTGAAGAAGGGGCTCAAGGAGAAAGTGAAGAAGGATAAGACTGCGAATGGGAAATTGCCCAAGAGTCTCGCTGCGAAGCGGCCTCCTGGTATCGGCAAGGACAAGGACAAGGACGCCAGCACCACGAGGAGTTCTCCGGCACCCAGTTCGATTGGCGGGGACGGGAAGCGAGACCGCGACGAGTTGGGTGACGATGACGAGGAAGAAGTCCACGTCAAGAAGAGGCAGAAGTTGCAACGTGTGGGTAGCACCACGAGTATCGTAAGCTCCATCACGGCACCTGAAATGGAGCGAGGCGAGAGTCAAGATGGAAGTTTCGTCGATGGTTCAGTAGCAGATGACTAGCAAGGGCATCCAAGTACACCACAGCGAAGCGTGCGTTGTGGATTTACGCCGCACGTATTTCACCACAGACATTATTCTTCGAAGGCAAAACAGAACAATCAAAAACAGAACAATCAATAATTGGACATGCCAAGTTTTGTGGAAATTCATTTCACCATCTGTCTCCTGAATTGCTCAATATGACTGCCAATACTCCCGTCCTTCGTGCCACGCGCTCAATACACGCCAGGCAAGATTCTCCACTTGACAATCTTGCAATACCTCTCCCAATCCGCACCGTATTTGCGTCGACACTTCGCCTCGTCGCGCATCTCACGATGAATGAGCAAGATGGCAAAGTACAGCATGTAGAAGTACGTGATAGGAATGGCAGCTCCTTTCATGCCATCTGTTGAAACCAAGCGGGAGCCTTCAAACAGGATCGTGGGCGTCAGCTTGTAACCGGCAGCTAGAGTTGGAAGACAGTAAGACCAGCTCATCAACCAATCGCCAAGGTAATTGATATGACGGGCGACTCCCCACCAGCCAGTTGTCAGCAGACGAGAGCCGGTCGCCGTCTCGATGTATTCGAGGTGAGCCACCTTGGGGTCATTTGGATTGGTACGGAACACGTTCTTCTCGTTGTTGGTCGCGCGGAAAATGTAATAGCCAGTAGCCTGAATAGCCAGGATGATCAGGACATAGAATGGTCCAAGAGCGACTGGGTGTACACTGAGGTACTTTGCTTGAATCGAGTAGATGAAAGGTACCCAGACTAGGTCGCCGAACGACAGCATGAAGCCAAAGCCGTCTGTGGTGAGATCCATTGTGGTCAAGATAGCAGGCTCCATGTAGAGCGCGTCAAAAACGTAGACGGCTTGCGAGACAATCACAATCACTGAACGAGGTTAGCAAGAATCTCTTCCGAGAGGGAGGCTCAGCTTACGCATGGAGTCGGTAATGTAGCCATAGCTCTTGTACTGCTTGGCTGCAAAGGCAAGATCAAGCAAGACCCAACCAATCATGCCGGGACGGAGCTCCATAAAGCTCTTGATATCCACCTCGCCGACAAAAGGGATGGTCACGCGAGGATTGAGCTCGCGACCAATGTACCAATCGTACAAAATATTTCCAGTGTGACCCCCTGCTGCCAACTCGCGCTGCTCCTTGTTGCCTGGCTTGACCTCAAATGACTTGATGTAGACGAAGATGGCGAGGGCGTAGGCAATGATGATGTTGACAGTGAGCAGCTGGATGTAGTTGCGGTTGATGAAGGTCCATACTGCGAAATCGGGTCCTCGAACGATGGTGCCTGCGGCGCATGCGATGAAGATGGTGACTGCGGAGAGGAAAGCATTGAAGCGGTACTTCAGGCGTCCGCCCGTCCTCAGCTCGGTGCCCTCGACTTCGTGTGCAGGAAGCAGGATCCAGAGCAGCACACTGAGTCCATACCAGAACAACGTGCCCAAAACAGCCTCAGTGTTGATCAGTCCCGCCCAGCCAGGCCAGCCGACCTCGCTCTTCAGGGTGTCCAGGGCATGCTGCCACGGAGCCTTGTTGGAAAGGGTGGGCGGCGTGAAGAGCTTGCTGGGCGAAAGCAGCGAAGGTGGTGGGCAACCAGACACGTCGTTGCACAGGAAGCCAAAGGCGTAGCAGGCGATGGGCAGACCGAAGGAGATCAGCGATGCGCCAATACTGTGGGATGTGGTCAGCACGACGCGCTTTCGCCATATTGTGTTATTGTAACTCACGGTCCGCCGAATTCGTAGCCATGCGCGTCGTCAGTTGGCGTCTTGCGCGCGACAGCTTTGGTGCGCGCCATTGAGAGCTGGTGTGCTGTTTTTCAGTGGCTCAGACAGTCGTGGCAGCAGCGGGGCATGCCCGGTCAGCAGATATATAGTGCCGACGAGTGGTATTGTCGTTCGATGCGAGGACGAGGGAAATTCACGTTCCTCAGCAGCATCGTACGAGCTGTAAGGCTTGAGCCCAAATGTTGGCGCGCCTAACTATGACGCGTTGCATCCAGCCACATCACACTCCCGTCCATCTCGGAGACTTTGGCGCCGACCCTGAGATGCATCTGCCATCACATAGTCTCGAACTGTATCTTTCCGGTTGAGGCACAAAGTATCCGGGCTATTGTCGAGCCATTGCTATTCGTGTATATCCTTGCGCTGATGTTTGTATTGTCCCTCTCATCCGCCGTCCCACCCCGCTTTCCAACTTGCTACTCCTGATACACACACCTACAATGACTGCCTTTACAGAGGCTAACCGCAAAGCTTTTGAGTCGGTTGCCCCAATCATCAACGATTCTGCCAGCTGAACATCCACAGTGATCTCTCAGCTACGTATGATACCAAGCCATGGCAGCGAGCGATCAAAGCCCAAGTGGCAGAAGCCTTGATTGCGAGAAAGGATTGGATTGGTGCTGAATGGGCTACCTCCTCTCCAGGAGAGCAGTCTGATGAGCGCCAGGTGAGGCTACTCGACTATGCCTGCGGAACTGGCGCCGTTACACAAGCTCTGCTGCCATATGTCAACGAGATCCGAGGCATCGACATCAGCGAAAACATGGTCAAGCGGTACAACGAGGCTGCCACCTCCTCGGGTCTGCAGCATGAGCAAGCTCGTGCGGTAGTTGGAAATTTATTGGGCGAAGACATCGATCCTGCCTTCAATACAAGTGAGTGGCATGAGTTCGACATTGCAGCCATTGGCCTCGGCTTCCACCATTTCGAGGATCCCGAAACTGCCATCAAACGTCTCGCGGCGCGATTGAAGGCATCTACAGGCGTCCTTCTAATCGTCGACTTCCTACCATTCGATCATAAAGTCAATCATGACTCCAGTGGCAACAGCGGATCCATGAACGAGATGGCTCATACCATCAAACACAACGGCTTTACTGGAGATCAGATGAGAGACATGTATCAAGCCGCGGGGTTCGAGGACTTCGACATTGTTGCACTCAAGCAACCGGCTCGAATGGAGCTCAGCTCAGGCACTGTGCACCGCACTTTATTCATAGCCAAAGGACGCAAATCAGCCACTGTTCTCCAGAAACTGGGCAACTGGCTGGGCTCACTTCAAGGCTGGGCCGCTGGTGATTGGCGAGCGGATAGGAGGGACCACCAACATTGGGAACCAGGTTTCGCCAACGACGTGGCGAAGAAGGATGGTAGTCTGTGGGGTCCAGAAAGGTTGGGAGAATCAGGGAACGATGCGAATCCGAGAAAGGACGAGCCGTTTAGAGACAAAGGCGGCTGGAACATGGTATGGAGCGGACAAGACAACTCATCGAGTGTGATTACTGACTTCATGTCTAGGGCTTACCCAGGCACAACGAATAGCCACAGGGCAGCTGAGATCGGCACTACAGAATTGCCTTCAGGCCCGAGCAATTCCTTTCGGCGGCCAGGTTTACTACTCGACAAACATCGTATCTGCTTTGCTGAGAGCATGTGCACCACTTTTCGTTGACCTCGGAATGCATTTGAGCTTGCCGCCAACGCCAGGCCGGAGCTGTGGGATCTCGAATCAAACCGCTGCGTTGGACGCGGATCTGGCGCTTCGTCACTATCATATTGAGCCAACCTCTGAGCCTGACTTCATCAGCTCACTTTGGTGTCGCTTGACGAGGGCTCAGTGGTGTGCGAATGCCACAGTCGCCGTAACATCGGGCACGGGTCCGTATCGACTTCACTTCGGCAAACGTGCACGATGCATGCTGTCAAGCAGCATGTCATCAAACTTATCCTCCGACCTTGACCTGTCTCACCCCTTCTGTGATCGCATCGTCACCCTCATCTTCATCATCCGCAGTCTTGCCAGCCAGACCTTGCTCCCATAGCTGTCTCCCAGTCAGAACCTCCTTCAAATCTTTCCCTCCCCTCTTCTTCTTTTCTTCAGCTTCTAGCTCCAGTCGCTTCCTCTCTGCCTCTTCCGCCATCTCCTTCTGGAACTTGTCTCTCCAGGCCAGAAAGCTTTCCCGTGTGACCTTCTCGCCCTCGAACCTCTTGTTCTCCTCTTCTTCAATGCGAGCTTTTTCGGCGTCCAGCACGGCGATCACAGCCTGGTACCGTTCCAATATGAGCTGTTCCGCGGTCTCCTTCAACGTGGAGTGCAAGGTGAAGACCATTTGCATGCCTAGCGAAGCTTCCATCTCTGGCTGCAGCGCATCCAGCAGGCGCTGCTTGTCTTCTTGGATGTCGAGGTGCTCATATTTGGGCGCATTGGGCGGCTGAGTGATGTCGAGAATAGGTGGCTCGTCAGGATAGGCCTCTGGGTACCGCACATTGAGGATTATATGCACGCGCTCGTCCTCGGCCTCTCCATCTTCCGCTTGCGCCTGTGCCTCTGCGGCCTGTGACTCGGGCGTGTCAAGCGGGATGGTAATGCGGAATTCAGTTTCGGAAATGTCCTGGATCTCGTCCGGGAAGATGGAGTCGAGCACCTCGCGCTCCTCTTTCTGCTCTTCTCGGCCCATGGTCTGCGTATTGTGGAGTGTTTGACTGCCTGGCCAAGTTCGTCAGTATCGGCGGGCACAGTCTGATGTGACAGCCGATCCCTGTCTATCGATAGGCTTGCCGAAACCTTCCCTTGCAACAATTTTGCGAGGCGAAGTATGATTTCGACAAGGCCCAAACACAGAAACTACTCACATCCCATTCGTCTTCCCACATGGCCAAGAAGACTACCAGGAACACCAAGCGCGACAAAAAGAAGAATCCCAGCATGGCAAGCACGCAGTCGCCTGAACAGCTCTACGCGACTGCCCTCGAGCTGGTCGAGCAGTCTCAGCCGGCAGAAGCACTGGTCGTGGCCAAGCAACTCTGGTCACACGTCAAGAATGGATCCGTGACAGAAAAACTGCCTGCGGCAACACTGCTAGGAGAAATTTCCATCGAACTCGGGGCCGCAGATTCGGCCCGCGACTACTTTGAGCAGGCTGTGCAACTCGACCCCGAAGGCAGAGTCCCAGAGGCCCTTGGTGGCGGCGCCGAGAAATTCCTGTGGCTGGCACAACTGTGCGAGGAGGGTGGGAAACAGAGTGTGCAGTGGTTTGAGAAGGGTGTCAAGGCTTTGCAATTTGAGATCGAGGCCCTGGAGAATGGAACGGGAGTGCCCCCGGGGGTCGATCAAGAGTCTTTGCTGCTCATGCGCGTGGAGAAGAAGCGAAAATTGGCCAATGCTCTTTGCGGAATCGTGGAAGTGTACATGACAGATCTATCATGGGAGGATGATGCAGAAGCTCGCTGTGAGAGCTTGGTGACTGAGGCGATGGGCATCGAAGATGAGACGAGCGCAGAGGTCTTACAGACGTTGGCTTCAGTTCGCCTGTCACAGGATCGCCGTGAGGATGCTCAGGCTGCACTCAAGCGTTCGTTAGCCATGTGGGTGGATCTTGAACCAGAGGACCCGGCAGTACCTGACTTTCCTACCAAGGTCTCACTTTCGAGACTACTTATGGAGGCCGGCCTCGAGAGTGAGGCAATGGAGGTTCTGCATCGTCTCATACAAGAAGATGACCAGAGTGTTGAGGCGTGGTATCTGGGAGGCTGGTGTCAACATCTCCTCGCCCAACGTGAGAAGACCAGCACAGATGCGAATCATTCAGAAGCAATGGACACCGGTACTTCCTCGACGGAGAAGCAGCTTCATTTGCGTGCGTTGAAGGGCAGCCGCAAATGGCTCAAAACCAGTCTGAAGCTTTACAAACAGCAGGATTACGAAGACGACAGACTTTTCGATCACGCACAAGAGCTTGTGCAGAAGCTGCAAACGATCCTGGGTCCTGAGGATGAGAACGCCGAAGCAAATGGAGATGATTCAGAATGGGAAGGCATAGAGGATGGTGAAGGCGAGGATGCAGACGAAGATGAGGATGAGCAAATGCAAGACTCGTAAGTCCATCGGCCCCTCCGAACGATGCTCTCGTGGGCGTCCAACGCTCAGTCGAATGCTGGGGAACCGTTCGTCTGCCTTCGGCTTCAAACAAGCGATTCGATTATCCATCAGCGCTAAGCGGCTGGAGCGACGAGATCTAGATGCTTCCAATACACCCGCGCCCCGAGAGACTCAGATCGGAGTGAAAAGGGCTATGCCTGCCAGCTGTGTCCGCCAATCACATTTTCGTGCAAAGTATCAGCCAATAGTCTGAGAAGCTGATTCATATCAGCTGAAGAGCTGGAGCCGAATGTTACACGCGATAAACGCGCAATACTGATCTTGGCGATGTATGACATTGTCGCTGCCAAAGCGTCTCGAAGGAAGGCAGACAGAATTCTCATGTGAATACTACTAGGACCTTGTTGGAGCTCATACTTTGCGGCGTTGCCGAACTGGACCTCAAGGTTTTCCCTCTACCAAACATGAATTGCTCCGCAGGCGACTTTGAGCTGCGAGCTGCGAGCTGTCATCCTCCAGGCGCACGGCTGGGGTTGCACGACCGACTGGACGTTGAGAAGAGGCGTATGTCAGTGCAGCTGCCCGTCATCATGCCCGTGGCGACGAAAGCAGATCTTCTCCCTTCTGTGTGCTTCACCGTCGGACATTAAATGGATAGTGCGCATGTCTCGGGCATGGCCACAGCAGCGAGAATTCGATTACTGGTATCCAATGAACTTCCTCCTCTCTTTCCTACTGGACCTCGTCACTAGTTCCGATGGGGAGCAGGACATCTTCGCCTGCGCACACATTTCTCACCATCACCATCTCATGAGAAGCTTGCGTGCCTGTTTGAACCCACTGCCATAGCTCGTGTGGATCGTGTGTGCCGTATGAGACCAATGCGCGGATCACGAGCCCAGTTGTCCAGCACGAGATCTCAGAATCCCGACAAGGCTACAGCTCGCGCTACTACCCTTCGGCGATTGTGGAATAGCGCGGCGAGCTGTACCTGCAGACCTGCAGACCAAGCTCACGGCGCAGCGCGGCAAGAGTTGTAGGTGCGCACGCGCTATGCTGCAAGTGTGCGTGAGGCTCTTCTGGTGCATATCGGCAAACTAGGCCGCAATCCTAGGGGCAGAACAGGCCATACATTACTTCTGTTCGCAGACAGGGCAGTTCGGCTGCTGCCGAGTGGGTGCAATGTGCTCTACCGGAATGCACGCTAGCGTTCCTGCGGTCACGCCCTGTACTACCCACCATGTATCAGGTTCGGTGCTCGATGCACACTCGTAGCACACGTGCCCTGGCAGCGACGGAAATGGCGTGGACGATTGCACCTCTCAGTGGATCACTCCGGTTGCAGTTGCTGAGACTCCAGCGTTGCATTGCGCTAGAGGGCCCCATCGCGACTGCATCGATGACTGAGACGACACCCGCACGATCACAGTTGGAGTGATGAGGCCCAGAGGATCATTGGCTTGTCGAACATGCATCAATCGCTTCCGTGCGTGTGCGAGGCTCAAACGCCCAAGCGCCCAGTCGCTGGGTCGAATATGCAAGCAGCCGCCGTCTGGGCCAGGATCACACTGCGTTCGCAGATGGTGCGCAGGTGCGTGCAATCGTCAGGCCGCATGTGGACAGTGTGTCTGGGAGCGCGGTCGGGGCGCTGCGACGTCGCTATTGGGCCTGTCGTCCCCCGTTTCAACCAGCGGACCGACTAGCGTGAGGAATGCAGCTGAAGGGCCGTGTACGACAAACAAGCACCCTACCGCTCCGCCGTCGTTGGCGAGCTTGGTGTGCAAGGATGCGTAGCGACAAGCTCGCTGCCAACTGCACGTCAACGGCACGCTGCGAACCAGTGGACCGTGGCTCGCCAGGCACATGCTGAGCTTCAATCACCGTGAATCTTCAAGACACTACGGTCAACGTGCTAGAGTGTGGCTTGGCCAGTCCCACACAGTAGGCAGTGGCGCGGGTCGTAGTGCTTCCTAGCTGCGTGGGCGTGCATGACCTTTTGGGAAATTATGGACCTCTAAAGGCGCCCTGCTCATGTTTCTTCAGGTGTATCTCTGCAAGCAGGAATCGATTTCTCTATCTCTTCGCAACCGTCGACTCGTGCGCGACTATGTTCATCGAGCCGTACCAATCGCGCGAGTTCGACTTCCGAAAACGGCCATCTTCTGATTCTTGCGCACGCCCAGACTCAAGATCACTACGGATGCGGCGTCAGTCGAACGTCCGCAGCAGAGGAGAACGACAAATTGCTTGCAGAATTGTAGCAAGGTCTTCTCTGCTACAAGTATCCTGAACGCTCTGCTGGCACAAAGGATCTCGTGCGACTCTTCCGTGCATTCTAACTCCACTTGCTTGTCAGTCTTCTTTGGCCACTCTCCGAAACAAAGCTCTTGCATCAGACAACGACAGCACCACGCGCAAAGAAACATCCCCCGCGAGCGAAGAGGCAGAGGTCAACGACAAGGACTGCATTGATACTGTTCCTTGCAGCAAAGAACTTTCGGTCCGGTTGTCGGTACGGCGCAGTAGACAAAGTGCGTCCTGCAGCGGATAGTTGCACAAGGTACTGATTCCATCTTCTTGCTTCCTTGAGGTGTTCATGCGCGCGCACACGCAAGACAAACCGCCGGAACGCAACCATGGCTATGGCAATCCATGCTCACGAAACATACAGGCAATATCTTGGTTCCGGCCTTGATAGACATTGGTTCCTTCGCTCAGGAGCTTTTCACAGACAAGTCTCACGATCTCACCGCCACCGCCACCGGCTGCTCCGACGATGACATCCACTGCTGTTATGCATCCCGGCTCTCAAGAGCAAGTGGACAGCAAGCTACGCGACGAGCTTGAAAAGTTCAACTCCCAGTATGCTCAGCAGCCTACACAATCCACAGAGCGATTCCCAACATTCGAAGACAACGCCAGTGGCTTAGATATCTACGTACGTCGTCTCAGTAAGACCTTTCCGAAGCACTCACTGACTCCCTACAGGATGGCTTCGACGGTGCCTACTCCAACGACCATTCCTATGCACATGATCCGCCCACTCCTCGATCCAACACTGCAAGTGAAGGCGTACGCACACGTAGTGGTCGATCTACCAGAACCAGGACCGACTCTCCTTTCAGCACAAGCAAGTCCCGCGTATCCAAGTCTCCCGCGCCGCGTAAGAAGGAAAAGAAGAGCAAGCTCGACAAGTCCAAGATGCCAAAGCTTACAGCACCATTGTCCATACTGACCAAGGACATGGACGTACCGCTGAAAGACACCGCAGCATTTGTGAACCGCAGCGTCGAAGAGAGGATGAAAGAAGTCTCTGACCACAACGGCTACATCAAACGTCCACAAAACTCCTTCATTCTCTACAGATCTGCGTATGCCGACCGATGCAAGAAGTGGTGTGAGCTCAACAATCACCAAATTGTGTCTTCTGTGGCTGGAGAGTCGTGGCCAATGGAGCCAGACGAGGTCCGCAATCAGTTTGACGAGTGGGCAAAGCTGGAACGTCAACATCACCAGGAGGCACATCCGAAATACAAGTTTTCGCCGAGCAAGTCTTCCAACAAGCGTCGCAAGGGCGAAGCAACCGACGACGAGGAGGAGCTCAGCGACCTGGAAGATCGCGATCCAGATGGAGAGTATCGTGGCGGTCGCCAAGTGCGACAGCGACGACAAGATCCCAATGCGGCGTACTTGCCCAGCAACGTCGGCTTCAGTTCTCATCCATACTACGACCAGAATGCGGGTGCATACGAGCAGTACTACGCCCACACTGGCCGTCCTCTCCCATCCAACGTCGCTTACGATCAGGCCACTGGTCAGCCATACAACACTCAAACTCACACCTGGATCCAGGCCTCACCGCAGCAACAATACGCACAAAATCCATACATGTACCAAGAGATGCATGCCGCACCTCGCGTACCTACCCCAGCCTCTCTCAACGGTCAGCAATCCACCATGGGAAGTCTAGGCTTACCCGGAGGAGGCTCAGGATCCGAAGAGTTTTTCAGCACCTCCAGAACCAGCACACCTCAGCACTACAACCAGCAACAGTACAACGCGAGCATGTACGGACAGTCTGTCTACCCACAATATCAAGGGCAGTACCAGTACCAAGTAGCGCCATCGACAAGTGCTACTCCACAACCTGGCACAGCGCAATACGAACATGCTCAATATCTCTCGCAACATCAAGATGTTGTTGACCCTAGTTTGCAAGGCTTTCAATTGGATGCTGCTGCTGCAGGTGAAAACGCCGACGAGTCTCATTTCGATAATGCTCTCGGCGATTTGCATGGTGTTGAGATGGGTGGTCTGCCGATTGCGGACTACTACGCACAGAACTCGACGAGTCCTGTGGATGGTAATGCGACTCTGGCGCCGACGTGGAACGTTGCTCAGGAGATGAGATGATTGGTGGCGAGCAAGGCAGATGAAAAGAGATGGCATGACAGGATAAGAGGCTCAACTCAGGACCAAACACCAACAGATGAGCGAGCGACATGTGCAGCGCCGACCAGTGCTGTGTTGGTGGAGCTATAGATACACGAGGCGCGATGTTCGAGACGTATACTTGGTATTCTTGTTCAAAGTTAGCTGCTTGATAGCGCACTCTCGTAGTTGAATACCATGATTTATTTTGATATCGCGCGAGTCCACAGTCTCGGCAGATCGATCCTTGATCTCGATGTCATGCAGGACAAGTTGGAGGTTTCCAGCTCACCTTTGCCTCAGCTTGTCATCGTATCGTATCGAGGCCATCATCACTTAACAGCTTCCTGCGAGGCATCTAAAGACCGAGCCCGGGACTGACTCACCAGCCGCCAACGAGTCTCATGCCTTGGCCTGGGGTGTCGATAGCAGGAGAGTCTGCGTCCCCTGGTCACCCACAAGCGCGCTCCTCCTCACCCAAAGGCGCATCGTGGGGCCGCGAGCCATAAACACCGCCATCGAGGATCCACTGTTCATTGTCTCCCTGATCCTGATCCATTTGCACCCTCCTCCACATGGTGGCCCGCTTTTCTCTCGCGACACCCTTTCCTTTGTCCTCTTTTGCCACGGGGCGAATCAACCCTCTCGCTAGCGGATTTTTGCTGAAAGCCCCTCCACCACTGTTGAACACAGGGACAGTTTCATCCTCCTCTGGATCCGATGTGGCTGAAAAATCAGGCTTCTCAATTTCTGCCATGCGACGAACGACTTTGCCCGCTTTCACATCAATACTTGCCACTACTTGTCTCTTCTCGTACTCTGGCTTCGCATTCCACTCCATTTCGCGTAACATTTTTTGTTGCTTTTTGAGTTGCTGTGCTCGTTCTTGGGGTGTTGCCCACATGTTTGTGCCGGCTGATGGGAGATCAAAATCTGCTGCCTCGTCATGGATTTGAGTTCGTCGTGCGTTGTTGGCCTGAAATCCTAGTAATTTGTCCCGATGAGCTTTTGCCTTGGAACTAGCTTCGTCGTCGGATCCAGCGGGAGTTGCTGGGGCTGAAGAAAGGGGTGACGATCGTGCGGATGATGCCTGTGCCAGGAAATCGCGTCCTGTGAATGCTCGAGCCTAAGAAAACGACAGTCGTCAGTGAACACAATTCCGTTGAAAGCCTGCATTGAAAAGGGAAGACTAGTGTCAATATTTACCTTTCCTTGTGACACTTCCGCTCTTTTATGTGCGGCATTGTTCGACTTCATTCGTTCCTCGCCTCGCTCATCCTTGAGCACTCTCAACATCTTGTGCAATTGATCTGAACTGAGCAGAGGCGACTTGCAAAATGTGCAGGGACCAAGCCCTTCTTTCACACAGATGATTTTGCCACAGTTGAGACAGTTTGGCGCCATATCTAGCAAAGGATGTCTCGTCGCCATACAGGGACATTTCCTTCTCGCATCATCTTCGGCGCCCATCAAAGACGGATTGGTCTGTATTTCGAGACTACGAATGGCAGAGTCCAAGTCTGAGAGGGCAGTAGAGGCGCCATGCATAGCAGTGCCTCCGGAGATGTTGACCTTGGTCTTCGGTGCCGGTGAAGCTTTCCTACTGCTGTTTTTTGACAGGGCAAGAGAGTCTGAGATCAAATGACCGGAAGCAGAGGGTGGAGGCTTCGAAGTCATAGGCTGTGTTGTCGGCGCTGCATTGTCAGTGATGAGTGGCAGCTGGGCAGCATCGCGCGGCTTGTCTTGCAACGCGAGGTTGTCAGCGACCTGGTCTCTGTGCGTCTGACGCGATGATCCAACTAGATAGTTTTCCTCGTCACGTTTTCTGTATGCACCGCTCAAATCGCCGTGGCCTTGTACTTGACGAGCAGGAAGGGCGTGAATATTAGGCTTCTTCCTGGCTGGCTTCTTGGGTTGCCTCGCAGCATCCGCGGCAGGCGCATTACTGCTGGCAGGCTCCCGAGTGGCACTGGACGAGGATGGTGCATGCTGTCGCCGCATGTTGAAGCTCGAGATAAACTCGAGACTCTTCGCATCGTCACCCAGGAGATTCTTGAGATGTTCTGCAGCACTGTCCTTGGGAAGTGAGTCTGCATACGTGATAATTTGTCGCAGTGACTCGTCGTCCAGTGGCAAAAGCTGCTGCAATCGCGGCAGCGCCCAAGTTTCCAGTTTGGCCGCCATCGGAGATACGAACGAGTGCAGTGGGCTCGAGGGCAGCGAACGTATGGAGCGATAGTCAGTCAGTGTCTCATACCGTTGATCGCAGTGCGCGACACCTCCCGTCCATGAGGTCAGCGAAGCACGAGACGCGGCCCACCAGTTCCGCCAACGGAACGGACCTTGCCCACGAACAACCTCACCTGTAGTTTGCGTTGCAAAGCGCATGCGCGACAAGACGACCGAGACCTGCTGACGACGAACGTGCTGAACATGAAGATTTTCCGCATCGTACAGAGCCACGCACACGTTGAGCTATTTACTCTCCCATCATTTTCCGTTGCCAGACTCGCGTTCTTTCGCAGTTTTGCAAACATTAGTGCTGAAGAGTACCATCAAGAACAAAGCTCATACTTTCGCGCTCGACCATTCTCGGCTTCGAGCTCCTCATGAAAATGCGGCAGCTAAAAAGAAACAGACCTCCCACAGCTTCGAAGAAACGCCTCCCGGTACCATGTATCATCACGCCGACGCGGGCCTCGCCGAAGGGGTATCGCAGTACATATAATAAACCGCAAGGCCAGGCTGCTCAAGAGACCTGCTCTTTGCCATCGGCCTTGATAATCTCCACCTGAACGCCCACGTCCTTGACGAATCCGTTCCTGAGAGCTTCCTCTTTTCTCTCGTTCGCCGCAGCCACGCTCGAGGCGTCGTCCTTAACTGCTGCCCCAGTCAGTTGCTGCCTTTACATTTGCTTGGAGTTCCGATTGAATGCCGAGAGCATGCTGCTATCAGTAGTGTTGCGCCCATCCTCCGTCTTTGCCACAGGCTGTTGCGCTGCGGCGTTCGACTTCACTGGATGCGCGTGCTGAGGGAAGGGGGAAGAATATGAACGCGGTGCTTCGTACGAGTACGGGCTTTGCGGTTGCATGTTATATGCTTGTGGGAAGGGCTGCGCGGGATAACGGGAGGCATGGTAGAAGAAAGCGGGCGACGCACCAGCAGGACTGACTCCATAGCCATACTGGCCTTGCTGAGGCATTTGAGCCTGCTCACCAGGATTTGGTGGCGGCAGAGTCGGAGTGTGTGGCTCGTCGTTAGGACGCTTCGCGCCGGCATTGGCAGTCTGGCCTTGCTGAGGGTACATGGCTTGTTGCTGGTAGCCCTGCGGCGGTGGCGGATACTGGCCAGGCTGCTGTTGCTGACCTTGCTGGGGTCCGTACTGGCCGTCGCGGCTGTTGGCAGGCAGTGGTTGACCGTATGCTCCGTACAGTTGAGTGTTCGGAGGTGGGTTCTGGCCGCGCCAAACCGTGTGCGCCGGCACGAATGCTTGAGTCTGCGCGCTCACTGGCGTGAAGACACATTCTTGGGAGAAGCGCACGCAGTTGGTGCATCGACCATCCTCGGATTGCTCGAAGCCAGAACATCGGATCTGGGCGACGCGTTAGCAGCAAAACTTCGAAAAACCGACGCGCTTCGATTTTCGTACCTTCCGACGACGACAGTATCGACACGCAATGGCCGTGCGCTGACGTGGTGCAGGCTGAGCTGGCGGGTAGCCCATTTGCTGCGGCTGCGCATACGGCGGTGGATACATTGTCTGCGGTGGCGGCAGAGCGCGATACTGGTCGGGATGCGTGGGCTGCAGCGTCGCCATCGCTGGCGGGCCTGGTGGTGGAGCAGTGATGCCCGGGAGCTGTTTGGAGACATCATCAGCATTCTCAGCGGCCAGAGCAGGATCGATCTCAGTTGCCATGATGATGGCTGCGGTGCGTTGTGGTGTGCGGGAGTGGGAAGGCGGTTGGTCCCGGAGGAGAAAGTAGCAGAGGGCAAGGTTCGGAAAAGAAGCTGGAAAAGAAGCGACGCGGATTGCGTAACAGAGCGCAGAGCTGATCACGTCTCTTGGCACGACTTTCTGTGCGCGCGCGGAACTCGCGACTTGCACAAGCAGGCAGGCACCTCGAGATTTTTTTTCCTCACACGTGGGAAACTTACCTGATTCGTTGGTCGAGGTTGATACTGGCCATTGTTCTGCGGTGGAGGAGCAGGAGACCACTGCTGCTGTTGCTGCTGCTGTTGTTGCTGCTGCGGGTTGGGTTGCGATGTTGGCGGAGGAGCGTTCGAGTTCCACTGTGGTGGCGCCTGGTTCGGCGAGCCGTACATCTGCTGCGACATGATTGATGCTGCTCGCGGGGACGTGTGTCGGCGAGGGTCTCAGGGCGGTGTCGACAGGCGACGCGCTGCGCAAGGCGCTGACGGGCGTCTGGTTGATTGATGCTCGCAGGCGCGGGCCTCGGCGGGCGCAATGCACGCAGCAACGGGCGAGCAGCGAGGATCCAAGAGTGAGGTTGCACGAGACAGGCGGGCGGGTCGGACAGCCGGTAGTTTTCAGGTTTGACGCGCTGTTGCAGGCCTGTCGTCGCGCGACGGGGTGACACAAGCAAGCGCGCTGCGTGGCTCTAGTAATGTGGAGCAAGCAGGCGCGGCAGGTGAATGGGACAGGACAGGACAGGACAGGCAAGGCAAGTCGCGTAACAGCAGAGCGTCGCCGGTGGTGGGTGCTGGCGAGCGGCAGAAGGCGGGAGAAGGGGAGAAGAAGGGATCCGATGGACTGGGTAGAGAGAGGAAGAGAGTTGGGGGGACCGCGCTCGATACGCGCGCAAAAGAGCACCACCGGTTGGTGCGGTGGCGGAGGATGGGATGACGAGATAGTTAATTTTCTGCTGGCGGGCGGGCGAGCGAACGAGCTGGCTGGCTGGCAGATTGGCGCACGCGGTAGTAGGTAAAATGTGGTGAACGAGTTAGCACGAGGCTTTCGCTGCCGCAGCGCAGCACAGCGCAGACGCAGACGCAGCAGCAGCAGCACCACCACGCTTCCTTCGTGACCGTTCGTGTGCGCGCACCGTATCTGACGGCCAACCCTGGCTGCTGCACGCTGCGAGGGAGCGTGATGGCGCCCGCTCGATGCAGAGCGACGTCGCGAGCCCGTGGCCGCCGCCGCTCGCTGCGTCGCGATCCGCCAGCTAAACCCAAACCCAAATGCGATGGAGGCGCGGCTGATGCTGCGCCTGACCACCCCGGGCTAGCGTCGTCGTCTACGTGCTTGCCGAGGGCGGCGCTGGGGGCCACCTTCGCCGCCGCTGGGCCCGCCTGCGCCCGCAGGGCTGGTTCAACACAGCTGTCGCGCGCGCTGGTTGGCTGCG